CTTCAGGAAGAAAACAATATTACCTTTTTCTTGCTGTTCTATCTTCTCCACAAGAAAACAACCCAGTATTTCTCTAGAACAAGTAGCCTACTTTGGCAATTTGGGAACATGAACACAGGACATACCTGATGTGAGTGTTCTTGTGTGATATTTTCTGAAAATAGAAATTATTAAATTATTGTAACACCATTAGTAAAACCATAATCAAAGTGCAGTACTCTAGGGCAACAGAGGGAAAATAAAATCCAGATAGTTATGGTGCCAGTTGCAAGGAACAAATCTGTGCAGTCAAGGGAATACAGCTCTCTAAGATGCTCTTTTCTGCTGCTAAACAATTTGGGAATGGGTTTTTATATCCCTTAGCAACCTAATGTTCTCAACGTCAAGAGGAATTTTGGCACAGCTACCTCCCGTTAATAAACTGTTTGTGATGCTTTCAAAAAACTGATACAAACAAGGTATATCAGAGATTTCACATGGGTCTTTCCTATAGCAGTGACAATGTATTCATTAGCGATTATGTGATGGAAAAGGGAGCCTCCGCTGCATAACTTTGCTGCCGAAACCCAGCTGGGAAAGATGGGAAAATACAGCAACTACAGAAAAACTTTGCTGACAATGAGCTATAAACTGAAAACACAAGCATCATGCTCCAATAAACAGTTCATGTATTTTTCACCCTACACTCATGTTCAGTCCTACTCTGCTCCAGTTTCACCTGTTATCACTGACAGGCACTCTCCTGTTCAGGGCATCGCAGTGCCAAAGAGACATGAACAGAAGTGATCAGAAGTCTAACCAACAGGACACTCCAAGAGAGTGGAAGAGGGACATTTCTGTAGCACAGGTAGTATTGTAATGCCGAATGACAACAAATCTCAACTGCTCTAAGCACCTGCTACAAAGGGGATGATTAAACATTTCCCGGTGTCTGTGAGCAATATGGACAGGATATCGTCCTGTTGCATCCCAGCAACGGAGATGAGACACTGGGAAGAATTTTACTCATCTTCAATCTTGCTAAAGAAGAATTCAGGCAAGAAAGCCATTTTATTAATGGCTAACATTAAACATTTACCACACTCTTCATAGTTGCTTATACTGAATACATCAAGTCCCGAGTGTGATCATATCACTGGTATGGCAATGAACATTCAATAACAGATTTTAAAGAACAAATTAGGCAAAATATGCATCAGGAATCACAAAAACTAATTCACCCTAGATGAAGTGGGAATTTGATGATTTCTTGGAGTCCTTTTCAGACCCATAACTCTGTGATAATGCTATTTTGGCTTCGCATCTATGAGCCAAGATTATATGATGTTTCTGACCTAATGGGACAAAAACAAGTACTAGAGACCTAGTAGTACTACAGCTGCTTATAGCTACAGCACCTTAAATGATTGCTTTTCTGCAGATAACATAAAGAATGGTAATAAAATATTAAAAAGCAAGGCTAAGAAATCTAGACTTTGGGAATTTTGTGTCAGTATCTTCACTAAGAATGGCAGTTATGTGAGTTGCTGAAGGCATCTGTGTTGGGAGTGGATGTGAAGGTTTGGATAGTGGAGGGCTGCAGGGGTGGCCTCTGTGGAGAAAGGCCAGGGGTTGCCCTGCACTGGACACGTCTGGTTCAACAGACCCATGGTGGAGCAGATATCTACACTGCAGCCCATGAGACAGCCCATGTCAGAGTAGATGGATATTCCTAAATATACAGAGTGCCTGTAGCAGTGCAGAAGAAAAACATGAGGAGTAAGGAGCTGCAGTGAGAAACTGACTGCAACATCCCACCCACCTACGCCCTGTGGTACCAGGGTAGAAGAGCTGGGAATGAAGTTGAGTTTGAAACAACAGAGGTAATAAACAAAGGGAGCAAAGGTATTGTTTCAATGTTTTAATGTATTTTAATTGGCAATAAGTTAATTTGCCCCATGCCAAGTGAGTGTTGCCCACAGTGGTAACTGGTGAGTGATCTCCCCGTCTTTACCTCAATCCACAAGCCCTCTCATCCTATTTTCTCCCCTGTGTGCCACTGAGGAGTGAGTGACTGATGGGCTGGGTGGGCACCTGGCTGTTAGCCAAGGTTAGACTGCCAGAGTACCTCTTTAGGTATGAAAACTACTCAGGAGCCTTCTTTCAAAACTCTCCCAAGTCTGTCCTTTCATTTAAATTTCAAAGGAATGCCCACTCATAAGTTTGAAGACAAGTGCAAACATTCCTTGTGTATCTTCCAGTTCAAAGCATCTTTTAAGTCCTAATTAATCTAAGTGCTCACTAAGACCAAACTCTCACTGCCAGCAAAATTATCACTTTAATAGTCATTTTTGCTTATTTGGTGGGTTGCTTTCCAGTGGCACGTTGGCTTGTGAGTAGTTCCATAATTCCTATTAGAAAGAAACTGCCCTATTTCAAAAGGACAATCTCAGCGATGCTCTTCGAGGCCAGTCTGATCCACTCACCTTAGCAAGTGATGATCATTGCTGCCTCATCAGCTTTTCCCCTACTTGTGTTGGCACAGTTTTCTGTAAATAAAAATTCCCCTGGGGATTTCATACTGTTCTGAGACAATTTAGCTAACTCAAATAAAAGATGCACTGAGAAAATGGAGATTCTGAATTGCTTTGTTTATTAATGAGACCTCACTTTTCCAGGACTGCAATTATTTACCTTTAAAAGAAGCTAAGAGATTGTGCATCAAGTGCTGCCGAACAACAAAACCAGAGGAGAGTCTTGCATTTCTTCTTCCAAAGTTCAGCCAGCCAAAAAGAATAAATAATGAAGTACACAGGTTTCTGCATACACTAAACAGATCCATTAAGGTGGATTTATCTGCACCATTTCCCTTAAATTACAATCATGCCCCACTTCTGTGCAATTTTCTATATTTTGGGAAATTATGTTACTGCAATCTAATGGCTTGTGTGGTGGCTGTGTTATAGTGGGTTATGAAGCACATATTGGGGTAACATTGGAAGTCCTGCTGACCCGTGAGCCCTGCAGCAAAGCCTGAATAATGCTACATGGCTGAAGAGATGGCAGTATTACCTGCATCATTACTAAAACAGAATAATCTTTACCTAACGTATCCTTTCATTATTTCTATGTGTTTCCTAAAAAGAAAAAATAAAAAAAGGCACGTTCATGTAATTCAAGAGAGGGCTAAGTAATGAGTAACATAAGAAGTAGGAGGAAGAACACTCTTGTCTGGTGTTGTGGTTCTACCTTTTATCTTTTTCACAGGTTCCACTTTGCAGGAGACTCACACAGCAGCACAGCACTTTTGTCCCAGTCCTAGTCATCTTAGGGGGAATGTTACTGTCTATCACCATGTACATTCTCACTGGTCCTTCTGTAGAGCCATTTCTATTAAAATGTGAATATTCAGACACACAGATGACCACAGAACGCTCACATAGCATACCAGAGTAATTCCCAGCATAAATAAGGCAATTATTTATCCATGCATAAGGGATTTATTACCCTGGAGCAACCCTTAGGTTTTACTAAACAAGTAAAATTCTCTGGTGTTTCATTCACTTGCCTGAGCAATGATTTTAAAGAAATATTGGGAGAGTGCAAAAATCTCACCTAATAGATGTTCATAGTTCTCCAATATTGAACTTGTAAAAGCAGACTTAGTCTCATAATCTTTACCCAAGTGGCACAAAAGTCAATCAGTTTGGACCACATCACACATTTATCCTTACAAAATAATCTAATTATTCTACGATCACTATTTCAAAACTGAAGATAAATTCCCATATCTAAACTTTTACATCTCTGCAAAACGATTTCTAATACATACCAGACTTTACCAGAAACATGAGCTAGGAATAAAACTGACTTTTGTGTTTAAATCAGGATGAGCTCTAAGAAATTCAAAGTCTTCCAAATTATTCTAGATTCAAGGCTCACTATAGTCTCCTGGGCCCTGAAGTTCCCAGATGGCTTTAAAAAAATGCTAGCTAAACAGCATTTATCCATTTTCAGAAAAATCTAAGTAAGACTAGCTTTTAAGCTCTGCTTTTTCCCGAATAGGAGAAAAAGTGCCTTAGAGGAATTGAAAATGAAGCATGGACACCACAACAGCCAGCTCTGCCACACTAACAAACGAATCCAAAGGAAAGCTTTCCGTTTATTTTCCCTTCAGGGGCAGCTCTGTCCAGCCAGTGGGCAAGGACAGATTATGTGAACAAAATGCCATGCATTCTTTCATACCTTAGGTAAGAAATGCCAAATATGAGCTAGTCAGAAATTTTACCATTGTTATATCAAGATTTTTTAAGGAGCAGTGGAACTCAGTCAATGTTGGGACACAAGATTTCTCCTTCCTTATCACTAGAACCCAGCACTCTTGGAGTAAGGCATCTTCCATCTTAGTTTGATGGATGCAGCTGCTGTTGTTTCTGCTTGTGGGTCCATCCAGGAGCAAGGCTGAGCCCCTAATCCAAACTTTTGGGAGCACACACACACACAGAAACAAGGGTGCAGAGCAAGCAGTGCCTTTACGAGCACACACATACACACACACGCAGCAAATGCACTCACACAAATCCATCAACAGCCCCATCCTGTCCCTCATCTCCAGCCAAACGGGACCGAAGCTCACCAGTGTGAGACACAAATCCCCCACTCTCCAGCTTCACAAGGACACCATGCTCATGGAGCCTTTGGAATTTAAGTTCATCAAATACCCATTCCCAGATCCTGAGCCTCCTTGCCCTGCCACTGGCTTATACCTGGGCTCTTTCCAAATGCTGTTTTCCTCCTACTTGCCAGCTAGTCCAGCCTCAAGTTTGCCAGTGAGTTTTGTTAGTGAAGTTTGCACACACACAGGGATCCCTACAGCACCTGGTCATACACACACCGGGTTGGCCCCAGGTCCTAAAGCCCCTGTGACTCATGGCCTCTTCTCCAGTTGCAGGTGTCCAGACCTCCCGATAAAACACATCTGCACATGCTGATACAGCACAGAAAGCATGGTCAGGCAGAAGATCATCAGAAAAAGTTTTTAATAAGAAGCTGGGATAGACTGCAGTGATGTGTCACAAGGCTGACAAGAGCACTGCTCAAGAGACTTTCCCCTTTTATTCCCCCTTTTATTTTTCCATGCAACTCCACATCCACCTTGGCCCTTTCTCCCTCTGCTCCTGTCTCCTCCCAAAAAATGCGTTTCTAGCTACTTTTCCCCATTAATCTGTTTTGCTACATCTCTACCCAAAATTGCTATTTCTGATATTACTTGGATCCTCTTCCAATACAACATGGTGGGCTTTGCAAGATTCCCTCCAGTATTCCCTTCAATTATATGTGAGGTTTGACCACATTCCCCCTTAAACATCAGTGAAATTTGTCCATCTTTCACAGCAGCTATCTGTAAATTTTGCCAGCTTCTCACTGTTACCAGTGTTCAGCAATTTTTCATCTTGTGACCAGTAGTTCCTCACGGTCTTTTCAGCTGGCAAAACCTCAGGCCAGAGCATGGACATCTGCCTGCATAATGTAAGAAGGTTTAATTCCCAGACAGAAACAAAAAGAAGTGCAGACAACTCTAAATTGCCACGTTTAATACGTGGCAGTATTAAAGGAATGTTCCTCTGCAACAGTCAGGATGCAGTTCATCTACCACAGCCAAATGTTTGGTTCCAGGTTTCATAGAGCTCCAGGTCCTTGGAGGAGACGCTGGGCCGCACAGTCCTGAAGGCACTCTCAAAATCCAGGAAAGCGATGGGCCGTACTTGCTCTGGTAGGATGGTCGCAATGTCCATGGACTGCAGACTGCGGATGGGGCCCAGAGACGCTTCCCGGCAGAGCTGTGTCATGTCTGCCCCAGAAAACCCATCGGATTTCTTAACTATAAGTTCAATTTCCTCTTCATTTAGGGAGCAGTGCTCCTTGGACATGAGACGAGTAACAATCTGCTTCCTGGCTGAGGCCTCTGGAAGAGGGATGTACAGTCTCTTTACCAGTCTCCTTCGGGCAGCTTCATCGATCTCTTGGGGTCGATTGGTTGCCCCAACCACTAGAATACGATCTTCAGAGGAGGTTGTTGCCCCATCTAACTGGATCAGAAATTCAGTTTTTATTCTTCTCGACGACTCATGCTCCCCCTCCCCACGCTGAGACAGAAGAGAATCAATTTCATCGATGAAAATCACTGCTGGCTGTTGACATCGTGCCACAGCAAACAGTGCACGGACCATCTTTTCCCCCTCACCCACCCATTTGGAAGTCAAAGAAGAGGCACTGATGCTAAAAAAAGTTGCTCCAGACTGGCATGCAATGCACTTGCCTATGAGAGTCTTGCCAGTCCCAGGGGGGCCAAAGAGCAGAATTCCTTTAGGAGGACCACGCAACCCAGTGAAGATGTCTGGCCTCAGCATGGGCCAGACCACTATTTCCTTTATAGTAGCTTTAGCAAACTCAACTCCGGCGATGTCATCCCAGTTGACCGGGGGCCCGTGGTCCATGATCTCATGCATAATGAGCTCAACCATTTTTGGTTCTATGTTTTTCAGCCGTTCATCTACAGGCAACAATGAATCTGTTGGTTCTCTTGTGTGAGGTTTACACTGTGCTCCTTCATTTTCACTTCCATCTTGCTTTGGAACTGGAGGAACAAACTTGCCAAATGGACCCCGAGACCTGCCTGCACCCAGAGATTTTTTTACACCTCCATATGATGAGACTGGTGCACGCTGGGGTTGGTTCTGAGATTTCTTTTGCTGATCCGCCCACAGCTGTTCTTTTGCAGTTTTAAAACCTGGAGCACTGCTCTCTTCATTTCTGTTTCTATGCCCTGAAAAACTACTGTTTTCTGTGCTAATGAGAGGCTGGCATGGAGCAAGGCTAGGAATAACTGTGCTGCTTTCATCAGCCAGACCATAGAATGCTTTTCTTTTCCCAGAACTTGCAGACCAAGCAGGTGCAGCTGACTGGTTAAAAAGAGACAAATTTTGCCCATCACAACAGTTACCTGACATTTTCAGAGAACTACTACTTGTGGCTTCTTTACTTCCAAACAGTGGAGTTGCCTGGAAAACTGGTTGAACCCTTTTGCTTAAGGAGGCTGAAGCAGCAAGCAGTGTATCTGAAGTTTTGGTCACAGGGGGCACACGGCTTTGAAGAGACTTTGAAGATGAGGGATGCTCCAGGAGATCTGGTCCCTGACTTGCACATTTTGCTGAGCCAGCACAGAGCTCAGTCTCTCCGGCACTGCCTAAGACACCGAGTTTAGAAAGAGCTGGAGCAGCGGAGGCACTGACCCCTTTATCAGCTTGTACACAGGCATCTGTTGGTGCCATCTGAGAGCTCTGGAAAATTTTGCCAGCCTGCATCCTCTCTTGCACACACTTTAATTCAAATACATTATCTGTTGTCAAGGCAGATTGCCACTTGTCACTGTCATTCTGCTGACACTTTGCCAAAGTCAAAATGTTTTCCGCATAGTTATTCAAGCCAGTCTCCATGTTGCCAGAGTCAATAATTGCAGAGTATTTCTCCGCGTACTTTTTGAACAGGTTGGCAGCACAGGTCTGGGAGATCTCAGAGTTTGCCCATGCATACTGAATACGCAGGATTTTGGCACGGTACTCATCTGCCTTCTGTGCAGGTGTGCAGGTGTCAGAGGTAATAGCAAAGTAACTTCTCTGCCAGTCACTCAGGTGCACGGAGCTGGGGGTGGGGGCCTCCATCACTGATGCTGGAACAGAAAATACCTGCAGTTACAAAATGCATTTCACAGACATTTGCACAGGCTATTTCTCCCCTTTCCTAAATACATGCACATGAAACACATAACATAACATTTCAATTAGAGGAACAGTGCAGCAGATGTTGCAAGATACTCAGGGAGTCCCGACACTTTGCCATTTTCAAAAAGCAACCAGGTTTGTGGTGTAAAGGCATTTAGATTGAGGTTCTCTTTTCTACCCTGTTTGAAAAAAGAAAAGAAGAAGAAAAAAAAAGGGAGGGGTGAAATAAAAAGCAGAGAATGTGCTGCTAACCAGAGGTCTCCTGGGGAGGTAAGCAGACTGCAAAGAATGGTAACAGATGGCTAAGCAAAAATTGGCCTTGTTAAATGAAATCACCAGTGCTTTCACTCTTATTTGACAGAATAAGGCATAGTGCAGAGGAGGACAAATTATACACCGCTGTCAGAATGACTGTTTATTACAGTGATGGTAATAAAAAGGAAACAATGAAGCTAATAAACAAAATTATACACAAAGTCTCTGAGGGGAGGTAAAAGCAGAATGAATAAGTCTGAGTGTGGTAAACTTTCAGAGTAATCTACAGATTCACAGCAAGTTCAAAACTATTTCATTTAGAATGCACTAAAATGTCCCCATTTTACACTTTAGAGAAACAAAGTTCTTGCATATTTAAAGTAATGCTTATTTCTCAGTTTTAAAAAGAGGAATTTAAATTTAATGATTTTTTACTTAAAGAAATAGTAAAGATGACATTTGGATCAGAAGAAGCATTTTTTTAAGACCTGATATGATTTGTTCATGTTTATGATGTATCTTCTTCCTCTGCAAAGCATCATGTGCAAGCAACACCAAGAATGCATCATTTCAGAGGCCACTGGAACAAAAAAAATTAAGAGAAACCTACCGCTGCCTCAACAGGGTTTGCAGAAAGCTCTTAATGTAGTAATTTTGATCTCCTTATCTGTCCATAAGGGATATAATTTCCAGGGTTTTTTTACTTCAGTAAGTTAATAGGATTTTTTTATTAACTTCAATATGTACAAGCACATTCCAGACAGGGAATACTTAAAACAAAAACTATTAAAGAGTAGGTCCACACATTCTGCATCTCTTCCAACAGAGGATGAGTCAACTTGCAGTCTTCTTCTGAATCAGCTACAGACTATGTACAAGTGCAGATGAAGGTACGGGTGCAATGTTCATACAAGACTGGGAAGACAGAACAGAACATAGGGACATAGGGTGTGGGGTCTTTCCTCTCTAATTATTTTTTAAAAGTCTTGCATCAGCATTAGACAACAGAGAGCACAGATGATTATTGTGCATATGATTATATGGTTTACACACATAATAAATAATGAGTAGGTAAACCATTCTCTTTTGAATTTTTTTTTAGATTTCAGCTCAACTTTGTAGAGCTGTTTAGAAAAGTCAAAATACATTTTACCTGCAAATCTGGTGCCTTTACAACCAAATCCAATGAAAACAAAGAAAATAACTACCACAAAAATAAGACTTTCTCTCTGAAAAATTACTGCCATCTTTTGCACCATAAGAAGTCTCACTTCTGCCTACCGAATCCAGGGTAAATTCACATCATAATCCATCTGTAGCTGAGTGACAAGTGACTGAACAGGAGATGAAAGACTTCTCTAAACAACTACTAAACAGCTGTCACTGTGCACATAACTTTTTTGTAACTCTTGAATCAAAATTATCTTATGCACCATAAAAGCTAAGTTCAGAAAAAGTTTAATAGCATGCATTTGCTCCCATGAAATATTCCCATAACTTCCATGATTCAGAAAATAAAACCTCAAGGTCACTACCACTCCCTTAAGGATTTAGCAATCACCTTCACAGCACCGAGGGAAGGTCATAAGAAGTGAACAGTGGTAGCCAGTTTAAAATTTCAGTTTGGTTTTTCACCGAATCAGAGAATGGGTCAGGTTGCCAGGGCACACAGTGGGTTATCTGATCCAACCTCCCTGCTCAAGCAGGGTCATCCCAGAGCACATTGCTGTGTGCGTTGTGACTGTGTCCACACAGCTCTTGAATATCTCCAGTGAGGGAGACTCCAGTCTCTCTGGGCAATCTGTTCCAGTGCTCGGTCACCCCACGTTAGGTGGAACTTCCTTGGCATAAGTTGCCTCTTGTCACCACCGAGAAGAGCCTGGCTCCATTCTCTTCATACCCTCCTTTTAGACACTTATATACTTCTGAGGTATCTCCTAGTATCATATTCTCTCCCCCTATTCTAATCCCTGTTACCTGTCCTCACAGCCTCACTATTTCTCCCCTAGGAGACAGTCAAACGCGCACACGTTCAGCCGGAGCTGTTCCCAGACAAGGACATCGTACTTCCCTCTGAGTGCCTGAAGTTAGGAGGAGGTTTATTCAAGCACTGACACGAGTGAATTTCTGGCACACACAGGCGCATCAGGATACACCAGGGGCACGCCCGCCTGCAGGCCAGGGAACCACCGGGAATCACACGGGCACACCCCCCATTCATAGCCCGCACGCCAGCAATCCCGGCGGGAAGCTGCCCGGGATCGGCTGAGCCCAGCGCGCACAGGACGACGCGGCCCCGCCGGCAGCCACGGCCCTTCAGCCCGGGGCTCCTCAGCCCAGGGCCCCCCGCGGGTCTGGCTGCGGAGGGGTCCCCTCTCACCACGCCGGGAAGCCGAGCCCGGAGCCTTGAGGGCTCCTCGGCGGCGCCGACCCCTCCACAGGGACGAAGGGACCCCCCTCCCCAGGCCCCAGACGGGCTGCGCGGGGCCCGGGAATTCCCGCAGCTCCGCCACTCCCGCCCCGCGCCACGCGCGCCCCCCGCACCCACCGGCCGCCGCCGCCTCCGCGCACAGCGCGCGCTCGCGCTGCTTCCAGCCCCGCCCCCGTCCTACCCGCCAATCAGGTAACAGGGCTCCGCGAGACGCAGCCAATTAGAGAGCGGAAGGGAGGGCGAGGGGGAGAGGGGCGGGCTCGGTTTGTGACGTCATCGGGCTCGCCGAGGCGCTGGGTGGGAAGGCGCGCGGCGGTCCCCATTGGCTGCGCCAGAGGCGCGCGCCCTCCAATGGGCGCGGGGTCCGTGCCTTGGGGGCGGGGCCGGGCCCGCCCCGCCTTCAGCGCGCGGGCCGATGCACGCGTGCTCTGCGTCCCCCGCCCAGCTTCTTCCCATCGCCCCCCCCGTCCCACCCGTGCCCTTCCTCGGCTTCCCCGCTAAATCCTCCGCTGGCGGGCCCGGGCACGCCCGTCTGGTCCCGGCAGGCGTGTGCCAGTCGGTGTTCCGGCTGCCGTGGCTTGCCCAGGGCGGCTTTGGCGGCCTGCCAGCCCTTGCCACGCGCCTCGCAAAAACTTTCTTCATAAAGGAAGGCTTGGTTCCTCGGCTGGAAGTTAGAGCGGCCGAGAAGGGAGAGGCTGGAGAATGTCACGTTTATTGCCTGTCCAGCCCATTTTCAGTAGCGGCGGGAAATGCTAACACGGAGATGCACTGTTCCTGCGAGGCAGAGGAGGCCCTTCCCTTCATGCACAGTTCGGTGACCAAAGGAGCAGAATTGCTGCGGCTCTTTCTGTGCCAAACTCGACTCTGGCTGCTCAAAATGGCAGGGTGGCAACCTCCCATCAACACACCCCAGTTACCTGCTGTTCCTTCCTCTCCTCCCAGTAAAAAGACCCCCTGGGTGCCCTTCGCTCTCCTCAGAGGTGTCCATGCAGTTGGGTCCTGGGCTCGCTCCTTGGCAACCCTACTCTGAGCAGGACAAGCTCCACGAGAGGCAGGTTCCAGGGAAGATGGGCCCAGACAAAGCCCTGGCCCCCGTTGTGACTTGGGTGTCAGCGATGGGCACCCGACCCTTCCTCGCACACAGCACTCGACCTCCACAGCCGCCTGTTCATCTCCACTCCTGTGGCACAGTTGCAGGGCCACCACAGCAGTGTCAGAAAGTGGTGCTGTCTAACACTCCTGGAAACAACAGCTGCTGGACAGGCCTTTTTGGGAGGACAACTCTGCTGAAGGTCTGAGCAGCAGTAGCTGGACTTTGTGGCAGAGGGACACGATGAATGGCACAATACCTTGCAGGGCAAAAGATGGTGGCCCAGGTGGATGTATGCCATGTGCTGAATCTGATTGTGGAGTCCCTAGCTGGATCACACCAACCCACATCCAAATTAGCACATCAAACTAGATGCAAATTAGCACACTAAGCTCCAATTACACTTCTGGTATTAACATAGACACTTGTGCGTGGGTGGACATTTAATTTCCCATGAGAAACATTTCTTGCAGTTACTGTCAGGTTTTTGTTATACATTAAGCTTGTTACACCATTAGTGCAGACAGCATATTAAACTGTCTGGGCTAGTATGCGAGCTATCATCTCAGACCCAACTGGGCTAACCTAATTGGGCTCTAAACCCAACATTTAGAGTTTGTGACACTGCTGCCATCAATTTTTTCCCAAGGCATGCTTCCCCAATTTCCCTTGGGTTGCACATGGGCAGGCAGCAAAGGAACCTGCAGCTGCAAGCTGCCCCTGGGGACACAGTCAGGCAGGACTAATGACATGGGCTCCTTCCCTGTCCTACCTGATGGCTCTGGAGCTGCAAACCAAAGCCAAAGCTGGGCAGCTGGCTCCAGTGTCAGATCCAGCTGCAGGACTGTGCAGAACTTTACAGAAGGAATGGCATGGCCCTTGTTACATCCATGTATTTTTCAGATGCATGTTGCTGAGGAGGAACTTCCCTCAGGAAAGTTTGCAAACTCCCATTTGCAAAGTAATTAATTTGAAGGACACACTGAGGAAAAAGTGATCGATGGTGAAAATCAGGGCACTGACTTGATATTAGTGGGGAAGTTGGACCTCTTACAGCACATCTGGCATGAATAAGATGGGAAAAGCTTGTTTAAGAACAAAGACAGACCATAATCATAGATTTGTTTCTATTTATTAATGTTGCCAGTTAAAAACTACATGTCTGTTCAGCAGGGTTTGGACACAGATTTTAAAGGAAGTTGACAGCTCACAAATTACAATTAGAGCATTAAGCATCTGATTATTTTTCCATTTAAGTCACACAAACTCTACATATGCTATGTAGATATTATCTACTGATGGTTATTTAATCTTTCCCCACCAACCACCATCAGAACTCATCAGAGTTCTCAGTTTTATTTCTCTTTCTGTCTTTGAGCAATTGAAGTTTATACCTCTCAAAGTTTAGACTGGTGCTGTAAGGGAACTGCAATGTGAGTACCACTCATCACATATGTTATCCTTACAGGAAACAATAACAACAACAAAACAACAACCATGAGCAGAACCTTATATGTAAAGGCAAGAGTAAATTAGAAATTTAATATTTATAATGCAGTTCAGAGTATAATATATTACCAATACTTTCATAAATACAAATCTTTTCAATATTTCACCATCAGTAATAAAATATAATCTGTCATTAAGAATGTGAATACTGTACTAGTACTCTGCTACTTTTAAAAAAAATAAATTGTGGTTACTGAAAAGTTAGCTTTTTTCCTCCTTCTCTGATAGCTGCAGTTGTCCTTGTGGGTATTCTACTAAAGTACAATTCTGAGATTTTGTAATTATTTTTAATATCGAACAGTATTAATTGGCACAGACTGTATTAGCTTTTGCACAAAAGGCACCATAAATGCAGGTTAACATACCAACTATTCATAAATACAGTGTTTCTCACTTACAGATAAGTTGCAAAGTTACAGAACAGAAACAGCAGTTATGTTCTTCTTTCAAAATGTTCTTTTCAACACTTGTTCTTGAGTTGATTACATAGCCCAGATTTCCTTTTCAGATGACCTAACATTAGTAGTTTACAAAGGAATTATCGCATGGGAAAAAGAGGGTGTTAGAGACTGAATACTATGAAGGCCTTCACTAGTTACATATTCAATTCATCCCAGAATTTCAGAAAAACTAGAACTGTGAACTTCAGATTTCTGTATTGGGCTAGCCATGGGGAAATGTAATTCTATGGGTCTCGTCACTGTTGTTTATTAGAAGATTTACGTGTCACTTCTATTAAATAAATTAACTTTTACTGTATTTATATTTTAAATTAGCCTTTATCCTAAATTCTTTGCCAACTGGAGTTTTGGTATCTAGACAACAGCCTTTTCTAGAACTGGTATCCATATACTGAAAAATGCTTAACTGAATATTGATTTTGGCAAGATTTTCCCACAAATGTCTAGAGGGATCTATATCTAATTTCTGGGCTGTTGGGAACATTTCACTCCTCCTGAGTTTGGATGTGCAGCCTGCCTGCATCCCAGTTTTACAGCAGTTTGAGGCTCACACAGGTGTGCATCATCCACCCCTGCTCTGGTTTCCATGGAGAAGATTTCCACCAACATCTTCTTAAGTTTAATTCAATGTTGCCTTACCTTATGCCTTTCTTTTCCAATACTTAATAGTCACATTTTAATCTCAATTACAGTCACTTAACACCAAAGCAACTCCATTTCATTTCAGTGGAATTATCCTGGATTTACTCTATGATAGCTTTGATCCAAATCTGATTTATTTTTTTTTTTAATCCCTGGACAGACCTGGTTATATATTTCAAATGCAGAATACTGGTCTGTCTCATAGACAAACTGTAATTCCTCTCTGGCTCCAAGATTCTAGAGTTTTCATAATGTAAAAGTTGTAAAATTGTATCAGTGTGGATCATATGTGTTATGGATGAACACTGTTTTCCAGGTCATGAGAATGAAGGAATGTTGTTTTAAAAAAGACTAACAGAGAAAGGAAACAACTGCCAGCATTTTCCACTCTCTTCAGTTTGCCAATCTATTGCATTGTGCTACTACAGCAAAGCTTAATTTCATATTGGTTCTGCTAAATAGAATGGTGCTATCAAAATTTCTGATACTGTGGATGAGAGGAGTGTCTTGTGAAATGGCCGAGTCACCTCCTCGAATATTACAGGGTTTTGCTAGATTGATTTGTCATCCCATTCTGGGAAATCAGTTCCTTAAAGAAATAGTAGTCCTTCCAAGTTTGCACCTCAGATGTGAGAGATTAAGAATCAACAGAAAAATCCACACAGTCCATATTCAATTTAGTTAATCCCTTCTGGAAAGACAGTGGGTAGGAGCAGACCATGTGCCAAATTAACTGTCCCATTCCATGTTTCATGGTGTACTTGCAACTTCCCAGCCGTAGGAAGTATATTCGCAAGGCATGGAGGAAGAAAGCTGAATAATTGTGCAAGTTGTTCAAGATGTTTTAGAAGTTAATATGAGCAGTAAAAGGAAGATTAAAATGCAAATGTAGAAATTAATCCTAAATATTATTTTTCTTGGAGTAGCTAAGTAGGTTGTTCTTATTTGCATAGAAATAACTGTCTGGAATCCATGTTTTAAAAACAGCAAAAGTACTTCTTAAAGTCAGGTATTGTTCTGACTTCCCTTTTACCTCTGACTTTCATTTTAGGTCTTTACTGTACCTGCCTTCAACAGGATGACATATCAATGGTTTGTGTCAAGTACACGTGATTTGACTTTCTGTGAAAGTTGTTTTCCAGTATTTTCATATTCCACGTATCACTGTTACTGGACGAAAACCACTGAAGAGGGAACCACTGCATATTTTGAGTGTTAGTTCTCTTAATTTCTATTTTTACTGTCAATTTTTTACACATTTGTTAGCTAATTTGAGAAACGAAAAGTAACATTTTTTGCCGTCACATTTCTTAGCACATTTTCTCAAAGATTTATTACACAATGAAGTAAGCAGAACAGTAGCCATAAAAAGTAATCATAACTTAGTTTCACAGAACATATCTTACAGATTATTTTCAAGTAATCACTGCTTATAGTAACTTGGTTAAAAATACAGAATGCCAGGTAGCACATGGCTTTTGACAAAATTCTTCATTGAGAGTTTTTAAGAGGCCTCATTATGAATGATCAAAGTGGGAACCAAAAGCCAGCATAACTTCTTTGCTGATATTTGACAAAATGGCTGTTTTAAAACCAAACCCTTTAGGGGAAAGTAGAGAACCTGCCAGAAGGATGGTTAGTGTTCACTTAGTGGTCACTCCCCTCAATGTGGCTATGCAATGAAGGAAGTCTTGAAGTCCTTTGTCCTTTGTTCATTTACAAAATTACTGCAGTATGTCATGACATGACAGTGCCCCAAATTCTAACAATAACATTTGTGCATGCCTATTTAGAAAGGACCCAAACAGGTTACTAAACTTCCCCAACTTGGATTTCTTCTGAAGTCATAGTAACGTTAAATTCATTGGTTATAAGACCTCTCAGTTTCATCTGTGAGGGAAGGAGTGGCTGTGCTAGAGGAGTGTGGGGACAACAGAGGGAGCACTAACCCTTCTGTTTCCATTGCCTGGTTGAATAAATGATCTCGATTACAAACTGGTAAGAAATGACAGCTTGAGTCTCCTTGGCTATGTGCGTCCTGGAAACAGGCAAGATGAAACTACAGTAAATAAAAATTACAACGCAACTTGCTGGCAAGGATTTTGCTACTGCAGCTGGGCTATGTAACAACAGTTTTTGTATCTTTTTCCTTCTTAATTTTACTTTCCCACCTGCCCCTAAAATAAAACTTGGCAACACAAAGAAAGCCAGTTAATTACCTCATCTCCACTTGTACTTCACTGGCGTTACTCCTGTTGGTGGTTTTGCTCCCATGTTTTCAGAAGATCAGTTGCCAGCTGTGAGATGTGCTGCCAGGCAAACTTGATGTGGTTGGATTCCACTGTGCGGGAACAAATAGCAAAACGTAGCACAAACTTCTCTCGCAGATGGCTTGGGACCAGATGAATCTTCTTGGCCTCATTAATGCTTTTAAGAAGTGCCTCGTTTAGTTTATTTGAGCCCTGAAATCATTGTAATTCAATAGATATGCGGATGAATTTCAGAAGCAAGTCTGGAATATGTAAATCCTACCAAGCAGCCAAGCCCAAGTACCACCAGTAACAAACAGCCATTTTCTCTTCTCTCAGTGCTTTGCTATCAAAGCATTACAAAAAGATGACAGTGTAAGAGATAACTTTTGAGTTACAAAGAGATTTATGGATTACCTTGAGTTTAGAAGCAGTGTTCACACTGGGGCATTTGTTATAGCTGAGTGCTTTTTTTGCGACCTAAGGTCATGTGCTATGTAAAAGCATTCATTATTGTATCCATGTCATTACACTCTTCTTGGATCTAATCAAACAAACATAGGAGGAAGTTTTGCAATGAGCTATACTAACTTTGGTAAAACAAACCTTTCAGTCTTCCCTTAAGCGTGGCTGCTGTAAGAGTCTTTTGAATTTGAATATGGAAATCTTACCCTTAATTGAGAAATTGTTAAGGTAATGTGTCCCTGGCATAAATAAGTTTCGTACTATCAGTGGAAGCCCTAAAAAGGCATTTGCCTGAAATTCTATAGGAAGTATCCACCACAGAATCCTACAGAGTGGTTTTTTTGTGTGAAGGAATTTAGAAATGTGGTAAACTGACCCACCCGCTGGAAGTAAACAGTCTTCTGCATTCGAGAAACAAAGATATAAATGTTAAATGTCTTGCAGAAGGTCAGAAAGACTCTACATGCACTATTGAATTTCATCTCCTTCTAATGTACTTAATTTTCCTTATGCACAAACAGTAAGGTGAGGACTACTGGTTCTTTTACAGGTCCAGCTAATGTTGAATCAATGTTTTTCCTGATCATGTCCATCAGTATTTGGAAATAAAACAAAAGATGTCATCAGATTTTCAAAAACAGTAGTAAATCACTTTAAATGAAAAGAATGAATGAAGACATCTCCAAAATCTTGGGAATTTTGTCAGATTTAACATCACAGGGTGAAGTGCTAGCCACATATCTTTGACAGTCTTTGTTAGCCAAAAATTAAAGGAACCCATCTGTCTACTTTTTTTATCAGTAGACTGAGAGATGGCTCCAGCTTTGCTGGACAGTTTGCTATAATAGTTTAGGATATATCAGGTTGATCTGGAGTGCTATAATTTTATTCTTTGGGGAAGTATCTTAGCTATTGCACAACCTTTACTCTTTCTATTACACTTGAAGTAACGGAATTGCAAGAGATTCTGGGAGCATCTGCGCTTTTCCTGCAGTGTTCTTTACTGAACACTGAGGTAAAAGAGCACAAATGGTCCAATCCATCTGTTCAGCAGCAATTTTGTTACTGTAGCAGCATAGGTCTCCTTGAAAACATCTGTATCAGAAAACACCTTCTCTCAAATCTGGGCAGTTGTGACTCCTGCTTAGCCTTTTCCATATAAAACCAAAGCATAAGGCAGACAGTTTCCCATTGGCAGTAAGGATAAATGTATAATTTTCATGGTTTTGGATCATATTAAGAGAGAGAGTTGGACTGAAGTCAAAACCTTGTTCTGACTTAGCACAAGTTCTTTGGAATTCTGTATGACATCCTGAAATTCATGGCTTAGCCTTACTCTTCTAGGAGACATTTATGCAACTGGAATGCTCCTAACTAAGAAAATGGAACAGCTTTGGTGTTTGCAAGTCCCCATTTATTACAGGTCAGTCACTGTTGACAATGATGTCCTGCTTTCTTATCAAAGGTAATACATTATTGAAATGACAATCCTTGCCTTTAATATGAAATGCACAGCACTGACTTTTAGGCAATACCAGCAGTTACACGATGTTAAGTTGGCAGGTGTGAGGGGAGGACGGAGAAAGATTCATGTATCTTTCTTCTGTTCTACTCTCACAGCTCCACCTTAGGGCTGCTGTGACACTCAAGTGTCACGTCAAATTGAAGTTAGTAGTGACTAATCCTCTCCCAGAGCTTTGAGAAGCCAGCTTTGATTGAGTCTGTGAGCTTCAATAAGACAGCATTCTCACTCCCTTGGAGAAATGACTAGCTTGACTTGTATTCATTTGCAGTCATGACAAGGAGGCCAAAACCTAACCCTTTGGCATGATACATTTGATGTATTAATTATAATATGAAAGTCATAGGTAATGAGTCCATTTGCTCCACAGTGTGAAAAGCAAAAAATTGAGTGTTACAGCTAGGCAAAAATATATAAAAAAGGGCTTCTCAAGAACAAAGGAAGGAAGAAAAAATATTTCATAGTTTTACAGCTGTGCAGTATTATATAGTTCAAGTCTCCTGACCCATAGTCCTACTGTAATTACATAAAAGTTACAAATATTCTGCTTCTAAAATGCATTTTAATAAGAATTATAAAAATCACAGGAAGATTTTTCAAGCAGTGATATATAAAAGGAAATAAAGCTGCAAAAATAGCTATAAAAACATCTTTATTTAAAAGCTTGTTAGTTTTGTTTTCTTTTTCTCGACCAGTTAGGCAAGCAATGAAAACACTGCTCTTTCAACACTGGTTTTCAGTAGAATCAGGCCTTTATTCTACAATTTTTCCAAAACTTTCTTAGCTAGGGGTTCAGTATTTACCTCCTACTGAAAATTGTCTTTCCCTGTAGATGTAATTTCTTCCTCATCAGGGACAGGAGAACAGATGTAGATGAGCTACTGGTCTGATCAAAAGTGACAATTCCTGTGTTGCTATGCTCTATTTCACCAGGACTGTTCCTTTAAAGTAAATGTAGAGCACTGACTTAACAGCTGTCTCTGGATCTGCAAAACTAGTGTTTGCTTGTTCCATGTGAGAGAGCAGACTGCAACCAACATCTTATTGCACAATAAAAACCACAGAACCTATTCCTCAAAATCTTTTAAAATTCTTGTTAAGAAAGATATTATATTCATGTTTCCATTTACTGAAAAAAATCCACATTCTCAAGTGTGTTCATCCTGTAGGGACAGTTCTTTTTTTCCTTTTATTTTGAACAATATAAATTCAAAACAAACAATTTTCCAATTCCAGATGAATTCACCATTACTTCATTGTTAAAGATTTGTTAGCTTCTTCAGCCAGTTGCATCAAACTCGGGTAACTGGGGCAACTGAATGACTGGTGAAAGAATTTGTGACAAATAGTAATACCACACTACCCAGAAGGAGCCAAAATGTGCTTGCAAGCCTTCAGAAAAGCTAAAAGCTAATTTAGGTATCATGTGAACTAGAAAACACTAGTGCTATTATCATTGTTGCTTGGTGGTCAGATTCAGTGTCCCAATCCAGTCCTTTACAAAGGCTTTAGTTGCAAGCTCCTATATGAAATGAGTTCATTACCTAAAATAAGACACTGATCCCCTTCTAGTGTCTGATTAAACAATGAGCCCTCCCAGTTACTGCAGCTTTTATGCTTTGAATGCAGAGTGAGATTTTTCTAGTTTCTGTCAGGCAAGGTCTCCACATCAATGAACTTGGTACTTTGAGAGATTCTGGAGTATAAAAGGCCAAGCAGGGCAAAAGGATCACGTTCAGCAATAAAAAGCAGACCAGGGCCAAGGGCACTTGGGAAGGTGGCCTCCCATGTAACCTGTTCTTATACATACCTTACTTCAATTTTCCATGTTTTAACAAAATTGTCTTAAGCTTTTAATCTGCTTTGTTCTACAGGAACTCCCTTTGCTTTCCTTAAAAAATAATCAAGTATATGATTACAAAGATTATATTCAATTGCATGTTATTCTGTTGCTATAAAACATGACAGAAGAAATAGGAGGTCTTACCTTCAGCCGAAAACAGACTAGTCCCAAGACAACCTCAGCACAGATCTCAAATCTTCCATCCTGAAGGACTAAGTGTTCAAATTGATGTGACAGCCTGACGTGCTGAGAAGAGAAAGAAGGTATCTATGTTGTATAAATTTGATTCATCAAGAGAAAAGGTTTGCTAAAGTATTTTCCATTCCTTTTCTCTGTTCCTTCTTCTGATATGTGATAATATTCACGTGTCGCCATCTGTTTATGTTAAGTTACATCCCATTTATGACTTCCAGAGACCATACTGAGCCATTGCTATATATTATTAGCTCAGACTATCTTAGGCAGTACTAGCCTATTTCTTAATGAGACATTTCAGCACAATTTCATATGACACCATATTAATAGTAAATAATTTTAATAATTCTCCTTTAGGTTTTCTACCACTGTCAGTTTGGGCTGGGAATGGCTAGAGTCCAAAAGACTTTAGAGGGGAAAGGGGAAACGCACAGATACAGAGAGAAAAAGTTGTCACAATTCCAGTGCAAATTAAGCTGGAAAGATACACTTTTTAGAAGAGTTAACTTAATGGATATCTGTGAAGAAGGGGAGAACTTGCTCAGTCTCCTGACCTGGGTGCTCAGCTTCAGTTGAAAAGAAAGGTGATGGCAGTATAATCAGGAAAATTAATAGCAAATCTCAGCAAACCTGTTGATAAGTTACTGGGGAAAAAAGAATGACACTGGGCACCCAGTCAGAGGAAGTATTTTGAAGCATAGGAAACCAGTGCTCTTCCAAAGTCAAATAAATAGGAAAAATATCAACAGGCATGGTACCAACCAGCTGAGAATTCTTAACATCAGTCAGTGATACTTGAGTGCTCATATCATGTTTGGCTTTGCTTTTTTCCAAACAGAAAATGAATTCAAAACTACTTGGGAGAAAAGAACCTATATCCTCATCAGTTCCCCTCTCACTGGCTATAACACCAGCTTAGTCCTCACTACCCTAAAAAAAAAAAAAAGGTAACACAGCAACAGCAACCAGCTATTAGAATAACAGTTGTCTTCATGCAATAGCCTGTCTACACCAAAGTTATCTGAAACATCTAAACAATATGTTAAAAGGTTCTTTAGCTTTGATATATTTATTATTGCAAAAAATTTACAAAAATAAACAACTAAGCCCATGTCTTTTCTTGCTTTTGCACTTTGACCTTTTGCAAGTTCAAGGACAGATATCAAACCAAAATGAAATATTTCACTTTGGGCGAGGGTTAAATGTGGAATGTTTCATCTCAAAGGAACTTCTTCCAAAAGGACAAGAATAAAGCAAAACAGAAATTACAGAAAAGAAAAAAAGAAAAAGAAACCAACACATTTTGCAATCTTAATTATAGCTTTCTGATGGTTTTTTATTTCTTCAAATAGAAAAACACAGTTTATACTGAATCAAAATATTGCTTCAAAACCTTCACATTGGGCATACTGGTACCCTACACAACCAGCCAATCCTCCTGTTGTTACCACTTCCTCTCTGCTGTTTGTTACATTCATTTAACATCTCCCTCTAAAATTAGCCTAAAAGCTCTTTGAGCCAGGAATGAGACCAATAAAATGCCCAGTCCTTTTCAGGGCATTTGAATGTTCTGCTGATATGAGGAGCATAAGTTTACGGCTATGAAAACCGACAAGAAGTATCTGTATACATATAGATACTTGTATGCAGAAATGCATGGAAATCATATGTTAAATAGGCATCTGTGTTGTAATGGTCTTTCACTGTCTCCTCCTATCCTCATGTTCTATGGTTTTAACCAAGCATGTTAAAAGACTCTGCAAAATTCCACACTGCATATACTATGTCTTGGAAATCAGAGCCATAAAACAGATCATGTTCAATGAGATGAGAATTTCAGAACTGTTCAGCTAAACGTAATCAACTGTGTTTCATCAAAATTTATCTGGGTAAGAACTGAATAAAATAAAAATTTAAGATTTGGCTTACTGTGAGAAGTTTGTACAAGAAAGCTCTGGACCCATCCTGTACAATTAATAGCTGGTATTTATGCCCACTTTTTGCACTAAAGGATTTTTCAGGAATTTGAAAGAAATAAAAGCAAGGGAAAATAGAAAATATTCAGTAAGTCAGAAAACAAAACTTAAAAAGTATTTTGGATTCATGTCGGGATGCAAGTACTTTTATTCATGGCTAGTCTTAAAAAGTAGCAATAATTGGTAAAGACACTGGGGGGCACCAAGAGTTTTAGATTTTACAGAAGTGGAAGGAGAGAAAGTGATGATTTAACATGGAAAGCTTTGCTTAAATACAGTTACCCAAGGCCCCGCACCTTTGAACTATTAGCTATTGTCCTGAATTGCTCTTACCAACAGTAAAGTTAAATATTACTAAGCCTGGAAGTTCAAACTCTGTAAAACCAAAGGGCTTTTAGGTATCACACCTTCCTCTGTCAGCCCAAAAGCTGCACCCACACTCTGGACATGAGCACTGCAATAACTCTCAGGAGGACACGTGTGGCTTTAGTGCTTCAACTTTTCAAGACAACACTGTGAAAATAAAGTCCTGTTTGTAGAACTGCAGGCACTGCAACTAAGGATAGGAAGGAAGAAGAGGTAAAAAACTGATAGGCTGTTCTCAATTTTCTGCTGAATGGGTACATACCAAGCCTGGATATTTTAACCCTTCAAGTGCTTCTGATTTTGACATCTGTGTCAGGCTGTGTCCCTAGCACCGTTAACTGAAAGCTAGCATTCAAATATTTAATCTTTCAAATTTATTTTATTTAACACTGTCATGTACTTGAGAAAAAAAGTGGATGTACACAAACCAACTCACGTACTGTTTCTAGCAGTATCATCTGAGCAAACTGGTCTAGTTGATGGTGTCCCTGCCCATGGCAGGGGGGTTGGAGCTAGATGATCTTTAAGGTTGCTCCCAAGCCAAGCCATTCTATGATTCTATGATTTAGAGATTTGGACAATCCCTTCATCACATGGGTTCTCAAAGTGGAATCACATGGACAGTGTTAGTGTCCTGAAATGTCTGAAATGTCCTGAAATGTACAGGAACAGAATATCAGCCCTGGTCTTCACAGTGAAAGTTACCTGATTGAAGAAAAGAAACTTGTAAGGAATTTTTATGTGTCACTATTATCTCAGGTAAATAACCCTTGCTCTTCTTCAGTGAGAAGGGAAACAACAGAGAGATCTAATGAATTTGGTTATTTAGGATTAAGGGAAATGTCTTCCATAATCAATAAAAGGAGCAGAAAACTTGTGAGGCATTAAGATGTGGTCCCTATTTTAAAAATCTGTATTTCTGTATGTGTATTTGTGAATATAAATATGAATCCTTCTCCACTGAAATGTTTAAACTGATTTTGAATTTTTGGGCAAAGCCTTCAAGAGCCAAAACAGTTTTTAATTGCAGGAACCTTCTCTGAAGCATAAGAGTACACTACTGTGTACATGCAAATGAGCACACCAGCCTAGTCGTGATCACTTCATACTTTTCCTCCTACAGATTTCACCTCTTTGCCTGCCTTAGCTTGCATCCCACTACACTCTGAAGGAAAATGCTGTCAAAAGAGTCTTCTCAATAGCCACTTGGACTGTGCCACTCCCCTGTTGAAATGCTATGTCTGGCATTGCTGTTCTTTACAGTTCCAGTTTCTTGGACTCTGCTGTTAATTTTTAATGGAATTCATTATCCTTAGTGAAGAAAGAAGCATGTGTAATCTGATGACTTCTGGTCCTAAGGAGAATTCAACTGAGTCATAATGTTCATAGAGATTGCATACAAAAGCACGCTAACTCCTAAATTTCTCAGATTACTTCTGAGCTCTTGGAGAGGACTTAAACCAACAAAGGAGTAATACATGGTCAAGCAGTTTGCAAATGGGCCATTTACAAATGGGCCATTTGAGTTTCACATTTATACTGACTTGGAGTGGTTGGAATCAGTCCAGAAATCCATTATTGTTGTTGGTTTCACCCTGTTTGTACATCTCCTCTGTGGCTTTGGGACTTACCTCCAAAATTTGTATTTGTCTCTCCCCACATCCTTCAGAGATGACTGCCCTCCACTTTATCACTGCTTTGAAACCTATACTTTGCAATAGGTTAATATTACATGCTGTGTGCGAGAGAAGTGCATAACGAATGTTTGGAAAACAAAAAAAATTACTGTATCTAAATCCAAGTCACACATTCTCATGTCCCAGGAATATTTTGGTTCCTAAATGCCATCCTCAAGCAAGTGCCAGGTTGCAGTGGTTATTGAGTCATCTGATGTAAACTTTAAGGCTGCAAAGATAACAAACATCTTTTTCTTAAAACATACTAATAGAAGAGGGGAAGAAAAGAAGACAGAAAAAGACAAATAATTTTTGTGATAGTTTAGATCCAGGAAAAAAAAAGGTTATGAAGAGACTGTTGCAGATGTCTTTGGTTTTCCATATAGAAACTTGCTAATTACACAACAAATAGGGTGGCTTCTTAAGGACATACAAGTGGTTTTTCCCTCTATATCATATCAGAAGCTCATCACTATTTGAAATCTCAAATCACTTTGTAAGTATTATCTGGCTGCGCAAAAGAAGCCTAACTAGAAATCTATAAACACTGCATAGATCTTCCCACAGTTTTCCAACTCAAGTGTCCTTTTTTTTTTTCCCCTAGGTGATCACAGCATCTATGTTGGGATTTTTAAAAGGTCAGCTGCAACATGTTTAAAAGAAAGCAATTTTTCAAGGCCAGGCACTGGGATGAGCGATATTAAAGGGCAGTTAACAAGCAAAGTTAAATTCAAAATTATTTTTAATTTGGAAATTTATATATGGGTTTGAAAATATAAACCAGTGTCAGGCTGGTTTACATACTTCATTACTATTCTATCCAAAGTAAAGCCATTACAGTGTATCTGGAGCTCACGATAATTCCCAAGAGTAAAATGTGCAAGATATGAAACACATTTCTAATTTTTATTTTGCAGCTACCGATATAACTTTACCATCATGTCTGAAAACTCACAAGAGATATCTTAAATTCTGTTAGAGCAGGGAGCAAATTAAATGCAATTATTTATTGAAATTTAAGTTCAAAGAGGCTTGCTGGAGATAGAAGTTACTGGGTTTTTTTTAAAAAGATGCTCTGGATCCCACTGAATCAAACCAGCATTCATTGGGGGGAATGAGGAGGGGGTGAGGAGAAATTAATGATTCCAGTTTGAAGAAGTATACAGTAAGCCAAATTCTGCACTTAATTATCATAACTTATTTTTATATCTACAATGGAGAACAATGTAGTCCTTAATGAAATATAAAACATACACACTCAGTTCTACAAGCCCTTGGAAATCTAGTTATCTAAATTACCTTCACAAATAAGGTTTTATTTTGGAGTCAATATTTTTAAGAAAAGATTCATTTGCTTAACCTTCCTGAACTGTATTGTTCAAATATCAAAACTTGGTCTTCAGCTGTGTCTATATGGCTGGACAGTCAGAGAAATATCTGAGAGACATGGAAAGAGAGAATTTGTTGAATGTAAATACTGATCTGTGGAAACCAGAAGGCCATGCAATTGATATGAGGCTTCCAAGTCCATTTTCGCAGTGAGAGATTTAGCCCTACTTAAAAACTTGGTAACATACTGAAAAAAATGCAGTCTTCAGAAATCTAACCTGAGAGAGAATCCCACCGGGAATGGTAATGATAGAAAAATAAAGTGATAACAAACCTCATATCAATTTTTCATCAGGAGGATACATATCAGATTGACATAAGGATGACTGTACATCAGGATTCCATAGCTGCCAAAATTTATTTCTGAAAGCCTCATTAACAATAAAAATCTAATTTTGATATTTGGAGAGTCCGTTGAAAATTATAATGTGATTAAAATAATAAGCAAAGAGAGTACCCTCCATCCCAGAACCTTTCCAAATCAAAAGAGACTTCCTCACACAGTGATTTTACAAGAGCAGAAAAAGTCTTTTTTAGGCATTCTTCTGCTTAGTACTCCAATATGTAGTACTAAATTTGTGTCTGCAGGGACATTGGTATGCTAGACCAGACCTTTAGCTAATGGATATTTTTGTAAATATTTAGAGCCAAGTCATGGATCTCCTCTAACTAGAAGTTTCCCTAAACTTCATAAAGATGAAAGGTATGCTTGAATTTGACTTTACTGCTACAGAGGAAGTATATATATAATTTAGACTGGCGCCAGATGTTTCTTTTAGTGATTAAAACCCCCTTCTTTTTACATCAAGAATAAACTTAGTACTTATAACAATGTTAACAAACTGTAAATTGTACACATTCTTTTTTTTAATAAAATATGCATTTTAAACAGGAAAAAAGCAGCAGCAGCAGTAGACATGCCAAATAAGTCACCATATCCCTTAATCATAATCTATGATATGCTATCAATGCATGCACATTAATAAGATAAAGAAGTAATGAATATACACGTGTTTCCACAATAAAACCATGAGTATGCTCCGGCTTAATCACGAGGGAACTATGGTCCCATATTGTAGAAATTCCAAATTCCTAGACTTGCCTTCCCTAAAGATTAACATAAAATGGATGACAGCTTTGACCCTGCCATGATATGGAATTGTGACCTTACATGGGGCAAACAAGCAGCCTGTCCTAGTTAGGACAGCTGAGATCAGTTCATCTTGGCATGGGTGTAACCCAAAACTGTGTATTCTATAGCCTTCCATGCCATTTCCCAGAAACTGTTGTGAATAGACTATTCACACCCTCTGCCCATAGAGCCTGACTCCTCAGGCTACAAACTAGGTGTTAAGAGGCCTGTGAGATAGGAGGATGCTCTTGTCCTCACACCCTTTGTGGAACTCCCCGCCCTGAGGGAAGTACTGAACATTCCTGCCTGAACTGGGGGATATATAATCTTGGAGTCTCGGAACATTTTTAACTCACTCGTGGGATCCAGAGGAAGACTGCAGCTCATCGCTCTCAACCAGACTTAGACCACCACCCTATACTGGACTGCAATCACCACTTTTGACCAGACTGCAACCGCTCTCCCACCAGCAGGTTCTTCCCCTCTCCCTTTACTTTGGACTCAAGCGGGGCCCAAGGAACACCACTTTGTTCATGCCCCAGGGTACTGGGTTATACATTTGGGTTTTGTGGGTTAAGACCAATTGTTTGTTTGTATGATTGTACTTACTGTATTATTTTAATAAATTGTTATTCTGACTTATAATCTCTCCTTTGAGTTGAGTTCATTTCCCCTGCTGGCTAACTCTTAAACCAGCACACAGCCCCAGCTGTTGAACTGAGCTGCCTCAGAAGTCATGGAAAGAAGACAGGCAGCCAGCCAGTTCGCTTTCCTTTGCCTTCCCACCACAAGTTACCCAAGAAAGCAAATCACCTTGCGGATGTGCTCCTGCAGCCCCTTGACCCCGTACATCCTCAGCACGAACCAAAGCTTCAGGGAGCGGAACCTCCTGCCCAGGGGGATTTGCCAGTGCTGCAACCAACGAGAAGAGAGGGCACCCGTGTTAGGAGCCACCGTTGCAGTGCAACAGCAGAAACTACATTCCATAGCAGTTTTGAAGTGAACCACGTTGCCACAGGCAGTTCTTAGAGGTGGGTCAAATAACAGTAGAAATATCTATGCCTGTTTTAATGCCATGGTGTCAGAACGGAAGGGTCACATGGCAAACCATATTTCATTTGCGCATTCTGAATTCTCCTCAAAGGCTTTAGAAAAATAAGTATCTTAGAAGCTTGTTACATTGCCTTGTTTGCAGTTGTGGGGTTAGCGTCTGTAATGGCAGGCCCATTTTCCATTTCAAAGCAACAGTGCTTCCATGGGTTAAGGATTAAAATGCATATGCTTTTTATTTTATTTTTAAATTGTGATATTCACTATGTTAAGAAAAAAAAAAATAAAAACCCACAACTTTAGGACATTTCTTTCTACTGCCTGAACCTTGAGATATTGCACATGAAGACAATTTCTGCCTTTAAACAATTTGTTTTTCAAAAAACAGAGTTTAAAATTTCAGTTTGAGGAATGTTGAAAATTTAGCAAGCTGCATCCTTCTTGGAAAGAAACACAAATTTTTGAGATTTATGATAGTAATGGAAAATAAAAGTCATGAAAATACCAGTATATACAAGTAATAGTATTAATTATTACACTGATGCTGTACTTACCCGATAATCTGTTACAAGACCTAGAAATCAAAGAAAAAATGTTCACGTTGCATCATCGCAATAGCCAAAGCCTTCAATCATTCTAATGTTAATTAAAAAGCTGTGTCTTAGCTATAGTTTACATCCGCTACAAATTTCAGCATCATCAGTATCAACAGGACCACTAAATAACTAGTAGGATAGTTGGCAGCATGCTAAATTAAGGTGCTTGTAATAACCTTCATTCCTTAGCTAGTCAGAATATGCCACTAACAAATTAAGCCCTTTTAGAGAAGAAACAGAGTTTTTCTTTCTTTTATACTGCAGATGCTGTGGAGATGACAGACCAAATACTATTTTTATTTTCTTCTTGTACAGAAAACAATTTGCAGAATCCCCAAACTTACTTCATCACTCATTCTCTGCTGTGAAATGTCATCTTTACCCTAGTGAACTGGTAACACTTCTTAAAATAATCTACTTCTAACTACCTTTTATACTCATACATATATTTGTTGCTAATTCTTCCGCATGTCTAATAAGTGACTGGAAAAACTGACTCAGAATTTGACCTCTTCCTGCTTGGACAATATTATTTTGTACTTTTTATGGCTTTTCATCTGTTGTAGTGAGAGCGCATTACAAACACAGATTGACCAAGCCACAAAGCAGTCCAGGGAGGCAAGTAGAGGGCATTATTAATTACCCTTTATATAAACACACAGTGTCAAGACACATCTACCTTTTATTGTAATAAGGTAATTAAACTGCTTTCATAGTAAAGGAAATTATAACATGGTTAGTTACTTGCTGTAAGTCAGTGACAGAAATTTAACAGATGTAAAATTTAAAGCATTTCTTTAGGAAACATCTGCTTAGCTTCCTTATTCTGCTTTATTACTCTGCAGTGGAGTATAAGCTTCATGGGAAAGTATGTAGTTAAATTCCTAGGGAAAATTCTAAGTGCTCCTCAAATTGTGAACTGCAAGGTACTATATAGAACTGTAGCTTCTGAATTTGACCAGTCTATGTCATTTACATAATTTTCAGACTTTATGTTTCCTAGGAGATAATAAAAAAAAAACAGAAAAAAAAGGACTATTTCCTGTGTTACAAGCTCTCTTGCTGATGTTCTCTCATCTATGCAGCCAAAACATAGGAAAAAACATGGTCCTTCTTTCTCCATAACAGATAGTCATTGGATTCTTTAACCTGTTACTGTGTTGGTTTCCAGGTGGTAAAAGAAAACAAACCCACACAACAACCAACAATCATTAACCTGTTCCCGGACTTCAGGAAATGAATGTGGTTGTCTCAGCTTAGTAATGAGGTAAACTGATAACATTCATATTCTTCTGCATTGTAGCAGCCATTTCTGTTTGAAAGCTGCAAGACTGGTAGCAAAGAGAGGAAAGCAACTGGTGACAGATAAATAATCCTACGCTCCTGCAAGGGGCTATGTCTAATGATGCACAACAACGCCTTTCACAAGCTGTGAAGCAGAATGTAATCAATGCTTAGTCCTTGATTCCTTGATTATGAGCCTTAGTCTTACATCTGTATTTAAGCAGGAGGAATTGCATTGTGGGAGCACATGCGGTATTCACAATGAAGTATAAAGCTGCATTCTTCTAACACTGCCATTAGGATTTGACCTATATCCTGGGCTGTCAGACAAGCTAGTATAATCTTCCTGGTGTGATGATGCAAATCACATAAAATTATAATTAATGACAAAATAAAGACTTTCCCCTTGGGGACACGCATAATTGCCATATGGTTATTAAGAGTAATTGCTCACAGATAGAGATATTTTTCTGCTCATTTAAATTCCTGAGTGAGAGATAAGTGAATTTAAAAATACTACTTCATTTGCTTTGTAAACCATGATAGGAATTCTCAGACCTGAGACATACTCAGAAAATAAGACCCTCCATTAGACAAATCATACTTCCAGGAGTGCTGACATCTCATAAATCACACAGGGATCAATAGGGAGTGTAGCACCTTTGTGTAGTAAATTCGTAGCAAATTTGACTATGTTCATTCAAGGCATAAGCGTGGGTTGGAAGTTTAACTAGAGACATTTGCATTTTAAAAATGTTGTCCAACTCTTTGCAAAAATTGATACTAAATGAGAATAGAGAATAGAAAAAAATTAGCATTACTAGATTGCTATTAATCAGCTGATCTCTTTGAAATCATTATGTCAGATCATATAACATGCTCTCACTGCTTCTGAAGGCAAGATGAAGGCTGAACAACTTTTTATATAACTGGGGTGATAAAGTTTTCAGGTCAACTAGGTGGCCTTACTAATAGCACCTACTTTTAAGAAAGGCTTGGTTTTCTTCTGGTGTTATTTAACTTGGGGAAGGCTGAAGGCTCTTGTATCAGCACTATCAGTTGTCCCGAGAACATATTTTCACTTTAGTTAAGGTTGGATTTTTTTTTCTGAAGAGAATTATTTTTAATGTATGTAAAGTAAAAGCTTGTGCCTTAAATGTATTTACTGTAACTTGTATTTTTCATTTTAAAAGGCAAAAAAAAAGTACATACTTTTTTCTTAACAATTCTAGCCTTTAGAGGGTGAACCTGCATTGCTTAGAAATGGATGAAAGGAATAAAAGGCAAGATTTATGCCAGTTCAGGATTAAGGCACGGGAATCCGTTTTTCCTAGGGCTTTTTAGTGAATGGTGGAATTCTGGCTGGTATTAATTTAAATGTCAAGGAGTTCACAGCCATAACAGAGAGAAGATAAAAGTACTCAGAATACACTTCTGAACACAGATCAGCACCAGCAATTCCAGGAAAAAATAGGAGATCGAGTACATGGTAAGAGCATCCACATATGATTCACCCTCTTGAGAAAGTTATGAGAGAACTTCCACCACATTGACACTGCACTGCTGTGACCTTCTTCACAATTATTCAGTTAATAACCAAATGTGTAAAAATGGGCTTCAAGATGGCAAATATCACTCTGCAGTTGCGAGGTATGTGCAGGAGCAGCACTAATCCATTAAGGAGCTTTGTACAGAGCCTAAGATTCGTAAGTTCTTTGTGAGCATTTTGTGAAGAGCTTTCATGAGCATTTTGTTCAAGACAGACAGTCCGCTCTTACTGCTTTTCTCTACAGCCAGTGTAAGAACATGAGAGCTACAGGATAATGCCACAGAAAGCTATCACTCAAAAATATAGCAGAGACAGCGTCTTCTTTGTGGCTTCTGGGAGTTTTTGCTCCTTACATGGGTTTTTGAAAAATTTGAATCAGAGATTACACAAATAGCTAAGAAAAAAGTCACACACTTTAGCAACTCTAAAACCAAATCAGATCCTGAAACCATTCTGGAGAACGATATGTTGGGGAAGGCAGGTTAAGGAACGCGATACACAGCACGCAGTCATATGTTTATCTGACAGCCAAAAGATCATAAAGAATTTTCTCAACACTCCTATAAAGAATCAGTGGTAAGTCTGGAACTGGGGAAATCCCAATACAAAAAAAATAATATTTTTATAAAATTACTTTATAAAATTACTTTCCTTCTATTGCTTTTAACTAACTAAAATCTCATTAGACAAATACTTGCACTTTAATAAGCTTAACTCCCTCAGGCACTCAGAAAATGGAAATAGGTTCCTAAACAACTTAGGTTGTTTTAAGAATTTCAGTTTTCATCTTAAGTCCTTTTTTTGCCATTAAATATCAGTGTGCAAACAAAATAATAATAATCTCATTTAACTGTAAAATTACCAGACTCCTGATGGTGATGCTGCAGGTAAAGAGGTTCTAATTTAAAGGCACCTATTAAATCTGATCTTTTTTTCACCCTGTATAAAAAAAAAGAAAAAAATCAAATTGAGAAATTTAAGAATAGAAATTTAAGGGATTATATTTCCACAAGAAGTGAAGTCAAATTGAATGTGTTTAAACTGGCATATTTCCTGAGCACAGCCTGTGCCATTTTCAGTGCTTTTTCACAGTCATATCAGTTCTGTACTTACAAGTAGTTAAGTGTAAAGCTCAGCAGGAACGGGCAGCATGACTGCACGACTGCATATTTAAAAACAGACAAGAAACAGACATAGAGGATCTTTTTATGGTGATAGACACTCACACCAGAATGTGAGACTAGCTGAAGCAATGTTAATGTTTGCAGTCAACAGAAGTTGTCTTGAAATTACTGCAGTACAAAGCTGCGTGGGAAGAGCTGTTGCTTCCTAAACACCATGCACAGCCGCGGGGAGGCTTTGTGGATGCTGACTGCTGTGTCTTCATGCTGCAGCCACTGGGAGGGACAAGCCACCCGGTCCAGACTCAGATTTCCCTCTTGTACCACCCTGCCCTTAGCTGGATCCAATACACAATTACTGACAGACATGCTACAGCACGATGTAACACTGAGAAGCATACCTTACTATTGCCAGCTAGGGGGTGATGTGACTGGACTGAGGTTCAAAAGCCAGTGTGTCCCTTTTAGAGAGAATAAGCTATGTTTTGCCAGTGGTAAATAACAAGATTTTTTCTCGTTCATGCTTCACGCTGTGTAAGACTGACTCACCTCCACAAATGTTGCGGTTTATAGAGGCAGAAGAAGAAGAAACCATAAATTGAAAAAGGGAAAGACTGCTACATCATTTTATTAGGCCTATAAATATATTACAAAGTAAGCAAAAGTTGTATCAACATGGGAATACTCTAAATGACCAAAGTCCAAACCTTTTTTTTTCCTGAGTTTTAATGTTTAAATGTAAAATTGTAAATTTCTACAGAAAAATCTAATTTCCAATATTTTTCGGTGTATTTATAAATACACAGGACAGTACACACTCCCAGCTCTCATTCACATCTAGGCTGTGGTCATAAAACATCTTATTCAAACAAACAAAAAGCCTCTCTATGACTAATGGCCAGGGAAGTACCAAGGTTAACAGCAAAGTGCTTTCCTTTAGGTATGGAAAGTACACAGCTGAAGATAAGTAAGCTTATGCACATGAAAAATAGCAACAAACTTCCAGAATGCTCTCAGTAAAAACAATTAATAACTTATTTGTGTGCTGGAAATGTCCTGTGGAGAGAAGGAAGGAACTATTAACTGAAAGCAGGTTCAATTAGGGTAAATATTTTTAACAAACCTTAAGTTGTTCTACTGTAGTTTATTTGATATGTTTGATTACTTTGATATATTCATATTTCAGTAGCTCATTCTGTATGCAACTAATACAAGTTACAAGCAATGCACTTAGTTGTTTTGTGACAGCTTAATTTCTTCTCTGTTTAACAGTGGAACAGATAACTACTCTGCAGGAACATCTAGCTTAGAAGACATAAAAATGCTGCCATCTCGTACTTCCTTGGTGATGTCACTGCTTTTTTAAAAGGAGATTTCACAGGTCTTAATCTGGCAACCATGAAAAACTATCTAAAAGGATTACTAAAATAAATCCAAAGCCTGGACATTAATGTGTACGAACCACATGAGTTGCACCTCTATGCACCATGCCTAGATTTTGCCCTATGTATTTAAACTTTGCAGTAAGTGCTTGTGTGGTCTGGACAAGGGACATTACTGGCAAACTCTCCAGTTTAGTAAGGCCCTCTGATTACTGTCTGCCATTGGTTGTTTGAACTGGCAGCAGTGAAATAACAAAGAGAAGTCCAAGGGCAATCAAAAGAGATTTCGGGGCCCTGAGACAATTGTAGAGGGATCAGGACCGCAGGTAGTGAACAGTTTCCTCAATTCTTCCAGTAACGAGGAATAATATTGATGGGAATAGGCAGATCCATCAGGTCAATGAGTGGCTCTGAGGTTGGTGTAATCGGAAAAATTCTGTAGTTTTTGACCACAAATGGGATGATCTACTCAACACCTGGTCCACTGACACCTGACAGGATGCACCTATCTCAGACAGGAAAAAGAGCTGGACAAGCACATCATGTGGTAGTTGTGCAATTGGCTCATGGGTCAAGCACAGAGGGTAAGAGTGAATGTGGTGACATCAGACTGGCAACCTGTCACTAGCAGGGTTCCACAGGGCTCCATCTTGGGCCCTGTGCTCTTCAACATCTTCATAAATGACTTGGATACAGGACTGGAAGGGATACCAAGCAAGTCTGCAGATCATACAAAACTGGGAAGAGCTGTTGAGGTCCTGCAGAGAGACCTTAACAAATCAGAGGGCTGGGCAATCATCAACCATATGAAGTACAACAAGGAAAAGTGATGGATTCCGCACCTGGGATGGGGCAACCCCAGATGTTCCTTCAGACTGGGGAATGAGATGCTGGAAAGCAGTGCCATGGAAAGGGACCTGGGGGTCCTGGTCGATTGCAAGTTGAACGTGAGTCAGCAGTGCCCTGGCAGCCAGGAGGGCCAACTGTGTCCTGGGGGGCAACAGGCAAAGCATCTCCAGCCAGTCAAGGGAGGGGATTGTCCTGCTCTGCTCTGCACTGCTGTGGCCTCACCTTGAATATTGTGTGCAGTTTTGGGCACCACAATATAAGACAGATATTAAGCTACTAGAAAGTATCCAAAGGAGGGCAACAAGGATGGTGAAGGGCCTTGAGGGAAAGCCGTATGAGGAGCGGCTGAGATCACTTGGTCCGTTCAGGCTGGAGTAGACTGAGGGGAGACCTCATGGCAGCCTAGAACTTCCTTGTGAGGGGAAGAGGAGGGGCAGGCACTGATCTTTTCTCCCTGCTGACCAGTGACAGCACCTGAGGGAATGGCCCAAAGTTGTTTTAGGGGAGGTTTAGGTTGGATATTAGAAAAAGGTTCTTTCCCCAGAAGGTGGTTGGGTCCTGAAACAGGCTCCCCAGGGAAGCGGTCACAGCACTAAAACTGAAAGAGGTCAGGGAGCATTTAGATGATACTCTCAGGCACATGGTGTGACTCTTGGGATGGCCCTGTGCAGGGCTAAGGCTTGGACTCGATGATCCTTGTGGGTCCCTTCCAACTTGGCATATTCTGTGATTCTGTGACAGGAGTGGTGTTCTTAACTTTCTTTGCAAATACCCCTGGCCGAATGAAGGATCACGTCAGAAGGATGTGACATGGCAGTTTGTGTGGCAGTTCACATAGGCAGGGAAAGCAGGAAGGGTGCTGCAATCCACAAGCAGTTCCACACCTCAGGGAAGTGCTGTGTGCTCAGGAGGTCCACACCAGAGGGCTGAGTGCTGTAGGTCTCTGCCATAATGGTGGGCACTCACCTCAGAGTGAAACCCAGTGTGTCTACTGAGACAGCCCCTGAGAAGACTGCTGCTCAAACCCAGACAGAACTGGTAAGGAAGGTACATCAGTACAGGTGGCAGTTTGCAATGGATGCCCAGATACTTCTACTGGAGAAAAGGCTGGTACCTGCACAAAGTGTGCCCAGGTTGATTTTACCTGTTGCAGCAGGTGGCTGAATTACCAGACACAGTTAATAGGCTAAGCAGCAGTATTAGTGTCAGCAGTATTAGAGAGACTGAAACAGAGACAGATACAAGGCTTTGAAACCATACACTTCGTTGGACCTAGATGATCTTTAAGTTCCCTTCCAACCTGAGCCATTCTGTGCTCTTATGATCTACAGATAAGCATTTCTTAAAGCACCTTCCTTCAAAATACTAAAACACCTTCCCAACCAAAAGTTAACACTTAAGCCCTGAGAAGAGTAATAAAAAACCAAGAATACCAAGACTTTGAAAGATTATTATTTTCACACTCTCTGAATGAAGACACTTCTTCCCATTTTATAATATTCCAGAGTAGCAATTGAACAAGTCAGGCAAAACTGACTGGTAGTTTCAGGGCAAAGTCTCTAAATGACTCTAGCATTTCATATAGAAAATATACACTTCTTGGAATGGTTATATTAAATTTCTTTTTCTAGGAAATTGACTGCTTTTTTCTGTACATCAAGAAGTCTGAGAATATTTTACAAAAGGTTTATAATGAAATTGCCCCCAAATCCAAAATTATATCAGTGCCACATATTGCACTGAGTAGTTAAATAATTACATTACAGATCTAATTGCTAAATTATCTTAATCAGATTGCAGCAAAAAGAAATGTGTTTACTGGGGAAAGTGCTGAGGAGCCTGGGTTATTTAGAAGCCTGCCCATCAAAGGAACTCAGATTACTTTCATTCTGAAATGATGTTCAGTGTTTACTGAAGTCTTTCCATATCACCACAACATCATGCTTAATACTTCCCATGGATCCTAAGAGGACTATGTATCCTTCACAATTACTTTTTCTCACCATGTTCCTTCCTCCTTTCTTTTCATATTTCACCTTTTTAGTTGGTAAGAGAGGTAAATTTTGGACATGGGTCTTAGAGTTAGCTGGACAATGCATTTGGCTTCAAGTCAAAGAGTTTAAGTGTACATTTCATTCTTTATTAAGTGAATAACATCTATACATAAATGCCTTGCTGAAATGAAGTTTGTATGGCTGTGGTTGTGAAACTTTCACTTTGGGTAAGGAGATGTTGTAAAGTCTCTTGAGATTCCTTGTAATGGAATCTTCCTATCTATGAAAACAAACATTTTATGCAATGCCTTATTTAAAAAACAAAACAAAACCCCTAAAACAAACAAACAAAACCCAAAAGAGAACCAAAAAAAAAAAAAAAAAAAAAAAGGAAAAAACAGCAAGAAACAAAATGGAGACAAATACTTTCCTAAGTCTGAAGTCTAAGCTTTGCTAGGAAGAAGCTAAAATCACCTGAGATGGAACTCACAGTGGGATTGGATATACCTCCTTGTTTTCATGAAAAGCCAGGTAAAACACTTTTAACATAGTTCCACAGGGTTTTAAGGGAAAGCAGAATTAATGAGAAATTAAACTTTAGGGACTAGACTCTGGCCCCTAATTGTTCTACAAACACTGAAGAGAATGATAGTGTATTGTCTTATTTGCAGGTGGCTATTTTTTTTAACAATGTCTTTGACTAATGAGAAAAAGATGGGAGAAACTAGCAAAGGAGTTTGTTTTATTGTCTTCCTATTTCCAAATACAGAGACACAGCATGTTATGAGGTACTTATAAACTGGGTTAATCACACTGATGCCACTACTGATGAAGTAGGGTCAAAATGTAAACCATTTACACTAAGGAAAGGAAAAAAAAAGACCACAATGGCTTGGAATATTTGAAATGCCTATATCAGTTAAAATATTTACATAAAAAATGTTATATTATCACCTGAAAAGTCATCTTTGCTTGGGATATTAAAAGAGCCAAAGGTTAACCAAAAGCAACTCAGTGATTACTGTCACACATTTATTCTTCTTTTAAATAAGGTGACCTATCTCTGCATGATGTTTTGGAGTCTTCTTTTTAACATTCAGTTTTTCCTTCCTTTTTCTCATTTTTGCAAATTTTGTTCCATTATCACTGAAATTAATGTTTTCATTTATTTTGATAAATAGTCTGCATTTACCGAATAGCTGTTTTGCTAAAAAGTATCACTAGTTGTGATGCTGGTAAACATCTAGTTTGGGACACAATAGGATAATCTATTTTGGAATGTTTTTAACAAAACCATGCTATTATTACTGCTATGATACTTTAGTTTGTTTGAAAGTATGTCTATGGGTTTCTATTTTGGCATCTTTTTATATCAAAATGTCGTCTGCTGTCATCTGGGGAAACTGAAAGTCAGTACAAAATTATATAAATAGTCCCTTTTGAAATCAGCTGCTTTTCATCAGCCAAATCTCAAACATTTTTAGAAAGCCTTTTAAAAGACGGAAGCTTAAACAAAAAAAAATTTTATGGAAAAGAAAACCAAAAAGCTCTGTTGAGCATATTGTTCGTTGCACTGATATCCCTAAATTAAGTTTTTCCTTTAAGTTTTTCCAAAATGGAGCAGGTATGAATCTGCAGACTTTTTGGGACTTCTCTCTCTCTTTCTGAAACATAATGCAGAGCTCAGGCCTATTTCTAAATTTCACATTTCTGAAACTAAATTTCATATTTTTGAAACAAGGGAATTTTATAAATAATTTACAAGACTTGAAGCTATTCCGTGCTCCTCATTTCAACAGAGAAATATAAATAAATGTTTACTGGTAGAAAGGCAGACTAATAGAATGTGATTTTTTCCCCTTGCAATGTTTCCTTTTACTGTAATACTTACCACATAGCAGAGCAGTCAAAATTCACTAGGAGCCATTTGTGAGGATTAAAGTTAAAAGAATCTGCAAACTGAAAATGGATAAATAAAAACAGAATTATGAAAGAGAAAAGGATCCATGTGCAAATGATATAACTGTCAAATTGTCTCTGTACACTTTAACTACAAATGAATTACTGAATTTGGTCTTTATTATGTTCATACTAATGCCACCTTAGTTAGTAACTGTTTTAGTTAAATCTTCATTCATTTTGGGAATAGAATTCATGTTAGGTGTGCAGTTAGGCTATTAGTATTATCAACATTTTGAGCATTTGTATACTTTTTAGATATATATGTTACAGAAAAGTACATATCTCATTGTAAACTAAAAAAATAAATAAATCTGTATACTCAGAAACATTCACTGGTGGTTCATATCACATTTTCCAATAAGCTTTCTATTTTCAAGAGCATTAAACATATAAACACAAAATTAAAATATACAGAGACAAATGATTTATTTAATTCAGAATCTGCACATCACATTCATTCAAAAAAATACAACTGACTAGGAAATGTTTGGAGTTTTGTTTTTTTGGTTTTTGTTTTTTTTTTTTTACTGATAGGGTATTTTATTTCATTAGAAATCAAGTTTTTCATCTAGAGTCAAAAGAAATGCCACCAAAGATAAGGACTGGCAATACATGTTTATACACATAACGTGCCAGGCCCAGTTTACTTGAGATATGTTTAGGCGTGGTGTCAGAAGAAACCCAGGTAGGTAAGATGGACATCATGTGGGAAAGGCTCATCAGCCTTAAAAAAGAGAGATAGGGGCCTGGCAGCACGTTATAGCACTCTTCTGTTCTCATTTGCTTCTCATAACCTTCCCTGTCACCTGTAAACAATTAAGAATTACTCTAATAACAGAAGATTATCTATCTATATATCTATCTAGCTATCACCCTGTACTAGGTAAGGTAGGAAACATATTCATGGTTGTTAAATATTTACTCCTGTGACAAATGCTGGCCCAGACAAGGGACGCTGTTTCATTTCCTTTGGGAACCAATAACAATAATTTAAAAAATATTCCCACACAGGAAATTACAACAAGCTTCATTTGCTGATAAAAAAAGAGACAGAAAGAAATGCTTTATTTGTGAGGGGGTTTTCCCTCTTCTTCTTCATTAGTCACTACCTATCAGTGCTGTGTTTAAACTTCTGGCTTTACCAAACAGTAATATTTTCTCCACTGGCGTGGAAGACAAGGACTTATCTGACTGTCTGAGGGGAGCAGCAGGAAATTGAAGTATTCTTATCTAAGCAACTGAATGCCAAGTAGCTCAGCAAGGGGAGGAAAAAGGAACAGGAGTGCTGTTGGGGGAATATTTCATTTAGCTCTCTTGGTTATTAAACCCTGTCTGTTTGAGATAGAGCTACTGGCTATATCCTAGATAACTTTCAGGATGCAAGAAAAAAATCAGACATAATGACATAATAAGACATAACTTTTTTTTTAGAATAATTTTGTGTGTGCATGTAAGGTAGAATTAGGCTTCTATAAATGTGTCATTTGGGTTATTTGGGAAAAAGTTCCACTTTTCTATTTTGCAAGACACTTTGTTGATTCACTGCTATTTGCTGTTCTGAATGAGAAACTTCTACATAGTGGGGTAACTTGCATACTCCAGTATAAACAAGTAAAAATTATATAAACTTAAGTAACGTAATAGAATGTACAGGGATTTGAGGTGCAGCTTACTTGGAGATTCTGGAAGAGCTATTAATCTTGGATGCATAAACAACAAACAAATTCTATGAAAGAGCAAGGTTTTAGCAGGCTTCTAGAGAAAAAACACCATTCACCTCCACTCCATTTAAAAGATGCCTGAATTCAGGGCAGATGAATGCACTCCCAGCATAGGCTGCATCAATATGCATCCAGATATTTTCCTTATTACCTAAAAAAATAATTGAAGGGGAAATAAATTAAACAGCAGATTAAAAAGCCCCATTAATTTGCATGAAACCAAGTGCCTGAGAGGTTTTTCTTTGATGTCATTATTTTCCCAATTTAAAATTAAATTAAGAGATTAAATGTTTCTACCATCTGGGTTTTCATTTATATATAAAGATGTATACATAACAAATTATTTTTCCACCCCACTTCTCCTGGAACAAAGTCATAAAATCATAGAATATACTGAGTTGGAAGGGACTCACAAGGATCATCATGTCTTATCTTACTAATATTAAGCAACACAAAATACTATGTGATTTTGATTCAAGAACCATTAAAAAATACACTTTAAAAAAAATGTATCTAGAAATTTAGCTATAATTTCTATGGTAATAAAACTACTTTAGCAAGAAGAGCTAGAATATTAGCTGTGCTCCCCACTTCTAACTCATGAATCACAAACACATCTCTATACAGTATTCTTTACATATTGATATATATATGCATGCACATGCTTTTGAACTGCCAGCAGCAAACTATTTATTACAAGGATGGAGATACTTCTGCAAAAGCAAGCTCTGAAGTGTTAAGAAAGTGCTAGTTTTGATTAGTGACTGAATGGTTTCTGCAGAAATATTTTGTCATATGAGCAGCCCATGTATACTCTGTAATTTAGTATTCACATTCCATTATAGATCACAGTATTAATGCATTTGGTAACAATTCTGGTCTATGAGTTGATGGCTAAAGCCCACATAACATTTTTACACTGGTCACCAGACAATTCTGATTGTTATTTCCACATACAGAGGTATATCCATTGAGATCTGCATTTGGGCACCAAGTTCAAGCTGAAATTTTCATTCTTGTAAACTACATTTTCCTTTTGCATAAAAGTCTGTGAAAAGCTAATACAATATTATTCACAAAATCCACAACTGAGGTTTATTTGAAAACATGTTGAAAGTTCTACTGATTAATTATTTTTAAATATGCTCTTGTATACTAAGAGGAAAATTAGGCAGAAAAGCTAGCATGAGACTTCTGATTTCAGTGGTGTGAAATCCTTCTCATCTCTTCTGCACAAACAGGGAATCACTGAGGTGAAAAACATGACTGGTTGCTATACCTAAAAGTATTGGTGTCACTGTTTTATTAGGTCAGATCTATAGGAATAACTCAAACAGCAAAATAATCTGTAGCTGCTCAGCAGACTACTAGAAACCTGTTTGGAAAGGAGGACTGAGAGAAACTGAGTCTCTGGGGCTTGTGCTGAAGAGCAAGAAACCTCACAGAGCAAGTGACCACCACACATGCCCCAAAGTTTTAAACCCCACTGAATGAATTACCAGAACATCAAATGCAGTTTCTATGAAGCTGCTTCCAATTGCTTATAGCTGTAAATTTCCTGTTCTAAATGTACTTTGCATTTTCATAAGCCAGCAAGCATGTGCTTTTGACCAAACCCTGCTGCAGATCAAAGCTTGAAAAAACAAACCATCACACAGAAATACTTATGACGAGTCCATGACTCAATCACTGCATTAAACACCCTGGCACTTGTTCTATTTTCTTGAAAGATGAAGAAAATCAGGAAGGGGAGAGTAAGGATTAAGAATACATGTGGATTTTTGGTGCATATTTCCCTACTTTTCATAGTTGTTAGAACCACGCAGAAACAAAACACTTGGTGCAGAGGAGAATGGGAGTTCAACTTTCTCCTGATATTCACCATTGCTATAGATGCACTTGCAGGTAGAAGGGCTTGAAGAAAAATGTTACAAACTGAAGCATTTACAGTAATTTTTAACTGACAGGGTTTCAAAATATGACTGCCCCAGGAAAAAACCCTTGAGGCAATGTCCTCTATACTTTTTAAGAGTTTGAGAATGCACATTTGCTGCTTGACTAATATTAGAAATAAAACTGTAATTGAAGGTCTCATCTATAAGTAGCTTTATTGAATTGGAACACTGACACTGCACAATGTCCTGGAAATGACTCAGTGTGGCTTAAACTGCTATCTGCAATTTTAGAAAGAAGCAGCAAAGACTTACAAATAGGACCCAGTTCTAACAGTTTGTCAAAGGAGCAGCAAGGTGTGGTTCCGAGAGTTGCACAGAACTGTAGAACCAAAAAAAAAAAAAGGTGTTATAGCACAGGAAATTATCAAATTAAAAAACTGTCTGCAAAGGCAACAATAAACAAAAAGAATAAATGATAAATGATATAGGACTATTGTGGTTTAGGGCAAAATAAATTGATGTTAGCCATTACCAATCCTTAGTGGAACTTTTGAGAACGTAGGTGGATTTTTTTCCAAAGTTCCCATAAGTATCCTTTGAAACAGATGCATAAAATCAAATGTCAATATAAAATTGACTGATAAGTACTGCAATATATTCACAGTATTATGCTATTTCTATAATTTATATAATTTCTATGTGTTCCACATGCTTATCATGTGGCCAAATACTAACCTCACATATGCAATTGCCATCAAAATAATTTGCAGTTCATGGTATATAAGCAAGTTCTGAACTTGAGCAACTATGGTGCTGGAATTCTTGTTGACAGAATAGGTCACAAATGCTGCTGCCTCGATTAGAGCTCTGCAACAGAGATTTGTAACTGATTTATGCTCAATGGATCTGCAGCCTGGAAGCTGTTCACTAGTAGCATATGTTTACTATTAGACTTGCAAGATTTTTTCCCAGATAAACTTCTCAGAAATTCATCCTAAAATACTGGAACTATTTTTCCTTCATTCTTGTAATGTCTCATTTAATGTACCCTTCTGTGTGATCAGTGGGTCAAAAGCAGAGCTAACACAAATGCTTAAATTTCACAGTAGAAAGAGAATATAACTAGGAGAAAATGAGCAATCATAATTTTCTGGGAATATGCAGGTAGAATTTTAACCAAAAAATCCCAAATACCAAGTGCATTTAAACTGACATTATTTTATTTTTCATTGATACACTTATGTTTTAAACACCCTGTCTCATTTCTGAAAGCACTAATAAAAGCTGGGTCTGGTTTTTGTCTTGTACTGGATTTTTTACATAATAAAAGACACTTTGCAGTTTAAATAGATAAATAAAGTAAGCTGGGTTTTAGTCAGAGTACTGAAGTACAAAAGCATTAGATAATTTATCCACGGTCACACACAGACTACAGTACAGCCAAGAGATGACTATAAAAATGCCAAATCCAGAATTTTGCTTTTTTTAATTTTATTATTTCTAGGTACTTTTTCTGCCAAGTACACTGTCAACGCACTATCTTTTGCTTTTACAGTTTTTCCCTATATATCAACAACTAGCCACATTTTTCTGTGTGTATGCGTGCACATGTCCCTCAGTGAATTCATGATGAGACCAGTAAGAAGAAAAAGGAAAAACCTAGATGATACTTGTCCATCCACTAGACCTTTCCAGAAACATACTGTCATAGCAAAACTTGCAAAAAGTAATTATTAAAATAATAAAGGGAAAATACAGTATTTTTTCTGTATCAAGCCACTAAGAACCTGAGTTTGAAACAAATACAGTTCTGAAAATGAGAATCATACGGTATATATAGTTGGTAAAATTGTGTGCTAACATATTTTTCCCTCAAAATAATCTAATCTTTATCCATACTGGGCCTTCCTATATTCCTGAGTCATATGAGAAGAAAAAAAAAATTAAAGTGCTTTGAGGTACATTTACGACTTCTCTGGAAGACCAATCACCATTTGAAGGAGGTTGCTTTGAAAAGATTGCAGGGTATCTTTTGAAATAGGAATAAATTGGGTCCCTATTTTTACTAAGAGGGCATGCACGTATGGAGTGAAAACATATTTAACACACTGTTGTCTACCTAAGATGTTTCCACAATCAGGAGAAACCTGCATTTCATTTTTGGCTGAAGATCTACACATTGGATCATAAGAATTGGAGGATACCACGATGAAAATTCCAATTTTTCTATATACATAAAGAATAGGGGTTAACCCATTAGACTGGGAAATAAATAAAAGAGTGCACTATAGACTTAATACTGATTTTACACCTATATTTTATGACAATATGTTATGAATTTTCTGACAAGATTAGAGTGAAACTATTTTGGCTAGTCCAGCAATTAAAATACTGAGGAAGATTTCACAACAGAAAGTTACACATTATTGTTGTTAGTATTGTTCTGCAGTTAAGGTATTCTCCTTCTAATCAGGATAAGGAGTATGTTTTTTCACTGAGAGATTATATGAGTTCAAACATATTCTTAGTTGTTTAAATAATAGCTTATTCTGCAAAATATACCTCATTTTCTAAAATAATTTTGTTTTCCTCTCTGCAGGTGTCTAAGCCTCAAAGCTACTTTGCTTTAATTCTCAGAAACCACTTAAAGTGACAGCATCTGCTCTTGTCAGGACTCTCGTTACCCCGCCTCAGTACTACAGAATGAATCTAACTCAATTTGTAGCCTATGTAACACCAGAAAAATCACATTTGTGCAAAGGGCAGGGGACAGGCTACATCACAGAAATGGGACTGATGGCTCAGTATAGCCTGCAGGCCTTATCCTTTTCAGGTTGTGCACTTCAAATTTGACTCAGCCCTGGCTGTGAATACAAAACAGTTGAAAAGCTTGCATCAGTCATCTCATGTATTAGTTTCCTAAAAGGAAGAGCTATATCAGGAAACATCCATGAACGTTTATGATGCCTGAGAGCAATTACTCTCAATCTTTTCAACTGGAAGAACCTCCTATAGCTTTTGCAAAAGACATGGACACATTTTGCATGGTTTCATCACAAAGCTTTTCATTTGCAACTAACTAAAATGAGGCAGGACTTTCAATGTTCCCTTCTTGTTTTTATTTTCTCCTACTCAGTTCTTTGCTGGCTTGCACTTATGACAATGTCTGTGGCCTGAAGAAAACTGAAATCATTCTCTAAACCACTGTTCACTATTTTACAAAACAGCAATCATTCATAAACTGTGGGTTAAGAAACATCACCCTAGGCATCTGTACATGTCTCCAGAATGCTTCTTCCAAATAGAAATCTGTGGTCAGGATCTAAGTGTTGACTTCTACTGAAAAGATGGCTCCTCTGTCAGTCTGATTTATTGTTTCCCAAGTGAGTCTGGATATAAACAGCCTGCTTCTTAATATCCTGCAGATCATCATTCAGAAAAGTCATTGCAGCTAGAATGAGAGAGACTTCACGCTGGGCAGCAAGGCAACCATGTCATAGGAGCTTTATACTGGATAAGGCTGTTGAAGTGTATTGTACTATATATATGCCAGCTGCAACCTATCAGTGTTGATTTATGAAAGACAGCATAAAGCTCACAGGCCACTTACATGCATTCAAGTGAACTGGGCTTGAATGCAGTGGACACTACATCTGAATTTAGAAGTGCTTAACTTAGTGGTCTCCAAATTTGAGCATCCCAGTCAACATTCAGCGAACGCAGAGGCCTGTCTCAAGCTGGGACCATAGGGCCCAGCTGAGAAAGGCATTTACCATGTGTTTAACCACCAGTGTGTGTTTATAATTAATGAAATGGACATGACTTCAGCATATGCTTTAAAGCTCACCCTTTAATGGCTGCGTATCATCCACATTGGGAAACTGCTCCTTGGTAAATTGGACCAACTTTAGTGTCTCGACACCTGACATGGTTAAGTGCATTGTTTGCACAGTCTGCTTGCTTTACTATATGAAAATACCCCTGTTTCAATTTCTGCAAAAGTACTTTGAAACAGACAAATTAACACAAGTCTGAATTTAGAAATAAAAAAATGAAAACAAAAGTAGAGATCTGGGTACCTACTGGCAATAGCCTTCACTGAACAGAAAGATATACACATTACTAATGCTAAAAGATATTGATGGTGGGTAGGAATGCAAAGACTCTTTTTAAAGACAATGCCTCTCCCCCAAAAAAGGCTGACTGAAAAAATCCTATGTTTGTGAAAAGTAAACCTATAACTACCATATTGCTGTAATGACAGAACCTCTTTCACATCAACAAAACCTGGCCCTGACTCTCCACTCACCTCTACAGGGAAAGCATTTCTATGAAGTTCAGTATAATGATTCCTCATTTATTCGTTAAGTATAAGAGGAGAATCATGCCTATAAGGCATTGTAATTTAGTTGAATTTTCTTTTTAATCCCTTACAAAACTTCTTGCTGATAAGGGAGACTGAAACAGCTTGGATGCAAACAAGACATCTTCATTAGAAATGATCTCTCTGCTGTCACAAGTCTCTTCAGGCAGAATTTCTTCCGTCAAACTTGTTGCTTTGATGTTGAATCACTCCCCTTAGTGAAGGATCAGTGAGTACAGGGAGACAAGGAATCAAGTGGCATAAGGTGTTTCCTTGGTAATGTGCATATCTTTGTTGTCAGAACAAAATAAAATAGCACCAAATTACTCAAGACAAAAGAAATGGAAATGCTTTTGAAATCTTCAAGCCAGAAAAGGGAGCACTAATACAGTCCATGGACTGCTGCTCAGCATGGCAGAGAATTAGCACACCTTTTAAGTAGCCAACCATAAGGATAATGAAATCTACTTTAATCTGACATGTTTTATGCATTCAAATAAATGGAAGATCCGGTACAAGCCATATTAACTCAGATGGAGCCTCTGCTGTCTTTGAAAGCCTGTTTTGCACAGCTAAACAAACAGAGGAAGAAAAACAACAGTTAAATCATCTGTTGTAAAGGTGTCGCTGAATACATAAACCAGATTTTTTTATTTCCTCATTACACATAGAAAAATTAATAAGGAATGAATATTTATGAAGGGCAAGTTGCCTCTTTTTTTGTTAATGGACAAAAGTTGAGGAAAAAAACACATTAACTTTGCAGTTAGTGCATAAAGACATGATACAGTGCTGTACTTGTTTAAAATTAACAATAAGATACAAAAGTAGGATCCTGTGTAAGGTATTATGAGCTGGGATCACATAACAGAGGAATAAAACATGCCTTGCGGCATGTTCTCCACCTCTATAGGTGCAGCCCACAGAAAAAAGTTCATTTTGGAAGACCTAGAGATGCTTTGTTTCTCAGTCATAGTCTTACTACACTGGGAATCAATTAATTGATAGGATGCGCTTGGTCATTCCAAGGACTCAATCATTCTAGGCAGCCTAGAATTTAGCATCATTCTGCACATATAAAACCACTTTTCACTCTAGTCATCCTCATACTACATAAAAACAGACTTTAAAGGTTAGTAACAAGAACAGTAAAAAGATTATATTTTCAAAAGAGCTCAGTGAAATTTAAGCTTCTTAGTCCCATTTGGCACTTATCCATGAGTATAAGAAAGCTTAATCGGCTAATTCTTCAAAAAGCAGTTCATAGAAATTGAAGTTCACATTAGCCCTTTTCAAAATGTTATCACATGAAAAAGAAAAAAACTCATCAGACATGACTTTTCTGAAAACATTGTGACACATTTTTCAATCTCTTGAAAAATCAGTTTCTGAAGTTCTCAGTTTCTAAATTAGTTGTCGGTGGGGTTTTTTTCTTCAGTTTTTCTTCAGTGGAGGCTAGTAAAAACATATTCCTTGTAGCATATTATACCCCTTAATAGATCTATACAGCCCATGGTCAATATCAAGTTTTGCAGAGACATAATGCTTGGAAAGAAGCAAAAAATTTTGTTGGTGATGTACAAAACCACAACAGAAGTTACTTAATTCATGGGAAAAGTCAAATGGTAAAATCTCATTTTAACTTGAAATAATAAGATGGTGCTCTGAACTGGCAGGAGGAGTAGATCTGGCAAATAAGCAAATATTCTTTTTGATCAGGTACTTATAGTAGAACACAGCTTTAGAATTTTATCTAATCTAACACTGTTCTATGTCAAAAATTGGGAGATTTTGCTAGACTGTTGTAAAAGCAGGAATCTCTGGAAAAGAAGGTGGACAGATAACAAAAAATGATGACATCTGAAGCTTCCACAGCCACATTCCCTATAGCTCACTTGTTAGGGATTAGTTATGTACTCACAAATACCCAACTGACAATGCCTGATATTGATGATATTTGGGGTATATTATGGAGGTTCATTTGTTTGCTAAAATACCAAGGAGGGAAAACTATTGTTTCTTGAAGATACTTAAGCTTGAGGGAGCATTATTTAATTTATTTCCTTTAAGCTTGTTTTATGAGTAAGTTAGAAACTGAAAAATAAAGGTAAACGGTTCAGAGTTCAAGGGTTGGGAGATTATAACACTGCAAAACTACCTGCAACTACAAAATGGACCCCTATTTATTCAACAGTCTAATATAACCTTAAGTCCTTTTAAAACATCATTTTGCTGAGAAATGCAACCGGCTGCTCCGATTAGTTTCTCCTCCTGCACAGAAAGGCATGTGAAGAACACTCATGGAACCTCTCCTGGTATTCTAGCTCAGCTGCCTATCAGTGCCTCTGTTACAGATTAGACCATCTACTCTTGTCAAAAGTAGCTTATCAGAACCAAAAAAATCCACTGATTAATTAAAATCCAGTACTCACAAAGAATGGTATAAGACCAGCAGCTTTGTCTTCATCCAGAACCTTCTTCAGGGCTGAACCACAAACACTGAATGTATCATCTGAAGGAACATTTTTAATCTTCACAGCACCGATTAATGCAGCCCTTTCCACAGATGAATGAGCCTACAAGGAAATGGGGAAGTTTTAAGACTGACACCTTTTATTGGAATGTGAGTTCATTTGAATTTAAAAAAAAAAAAAATTTCTTTCAGGTAAAGCAATACTTGAGATCCTGGGACTGTTGATGGTATGTAAAAGATACATACCTCTCTCTCTTTCATACAGATAGACAGACAGATGGACACACATAAATATATATACCTACACACACAATTAACTGATAAAAAACCCTGAAATATCCTTGAGACCATTGCCATGACACAATTCAGACAGGAGTTCAATTAACCTTAGTGGGATCTTTAATTAACATGGTAGGACTGATGTAGAGCTTGAGGTTTTGGCTCTAAATCAACCAAAAGATGTGCAGATAATCAGCTTGCCTGATAATGATTCAGTTGCTCACTAGCACATTTTTATAGCATACAGCTTTGCTGACCTCTAAAATAATACATGTCATGGTATGATATAAACCGAAATACTTTCTTACAGTACCATTTCTTTTAGATTACGTACTGACTAAACTGTGGTTCAATCATTCATTCATTTTGTTAGGCAAGTAAGGATCATTCCCAATATGTTATTTTATTTTATTTACAACCCACCTCATTTGAATTCTCCAGAAATAAAAACAAATATATCACTAAGAAATTCTTGTAAAATTATGAAGTACAATAGAATAATAACTAGAATAACTCCATTGACAATGAAAGATACATTTAGCCACAAAATACTCTCATTTACAACATGACTAAAACAAAAGAAAAACCTATTTTACCTTCCACCTTCTACAGTTTCATTAATCATCATTAATTTGAAAGAGAAAAATTCCTCACCTTTTCATATCATGACTATTCTCACATCTCCATCTTACCCTTGCTGATTTTTGCCAGTGCATACAAGAGCGCTTATTAATTCTATTTTAATTTAGCATATAATCATGAAAATAATAATCCAAAACTTCAGCTAAACTAGACTAGATGAAGATCAAGATTTTGCCTTTCAACTTCACATATCCCTGGAATTACATGTTTTAAAGGCAGATGTATCATTAACTTTTATCTCAGCATGCCTCTTTGTTAAAATGCTTTGGTAAACTAATTAGGTACCAATTTGAGAAAATTTGTAAGCCTAGACTTGAAATATAACTTTTGAAGTGGAAACAATGTGTGGCATAGCAATACCATACTTCATTCAAGTGTACAATGGAAAAATATGTTTTATAACTTATATATACAAGAATTGCAAATAAGCAAACTATAATAATACACTGAGGTTTTTAGCCAGTCAGAACCTCTAAATTGCTTCATCAAGACTTAAAAATTGTAGCAAGATTCTCTTCCAAATGCATTCCTGCATTGTTGGGCTCTGTCAGTGAATGGTTTTCACTCCCACAGAATGGCTTACATTTAACTTTCTTTTGTGGATTATTGCCTGTGAGTCACACAGGTCTGTTCTTAATGCAGAAGGAACAGTGAGCTCTGCAACAACCTGCTTTGAAAGGTCAACAGTATCTTAAGGCAAATCCTTTTGCAAACACAAGATCCTCTGACCTTCAGTAGGCAGGAAGGCCTGTCAGTCCTCATTTCAGGTGAGCCACTTACATGGGATAAAAAATCAAAACAAGTAAAAGGCTTTGTGCATCACTGGGTCAGTCAGAGCTCTGGGACTGGTGGTCTGCGCAATACTGACCTTAGGGTCTTGGGCAAAAAAAAGGACAAATATCCTTTGTGCCTTTTGAAAGCAGTTATCTTTCCTCATATTTTCTTTTCTTGAATCTTCTCACCATGCAAATGTAGTTCCTCTTGCCACCAGCAAAGAGCAAGTGTACTTTTAGCTTCTACAGTGCTTTTTAACATACACTTACTAGTAAATCAAAGTAAGGCTGAAACCTGGCCATTTTATTCTGCATAATCAAATATTACTTAAAAAAACGTTAGGTACTAAGGAAGGGGGTTTTTTTCTGTCTCATTGACATGTAGGTAAGAAAATGTTACAGCTATTGAGAAACAACATTGCTTGGCCCTTCAGCAGTATTAGTGTGTCAGAAAGGTAGCAGTAGCAGAACTCATAAGAGTACAATTTGTTCTCATTAATAGTAAAAACGTCTCATTGTCATGGCCTGCTGAGCATTTAGCATAACTCAGTCTGCTAAATACCACTCACAGTCAGAAATCAAGGATTATATTTTCTGTTTCCTTAAAAGATTTCTTAGTCTGATTGGCAGATGGAGATCTTAGAATTTTTCTTCTTTAAAAACAAACAAAAAATGTTTTGAGCTTCTTCAAGTACTGTGATCAATTTGTTTTATATTCATGCATTAGGTTTGTCTGTGTACCTGCACCTGCACCTGCACCCATGCAGGCATATAGGGGGATGATGTATGTGTGTTTGTTTGCACATGTGTATGCACATGCATGCATAGATGGACATACAAGTTTGGATGCAACAAAAGATGGTCTAGAATTACTCCACATAACTAAAATTAACACCTTATTTAATTATCTTTATTTACTTCAAATGAGCTCTTTTTATAAAGAAGCAATACTTATGTAACACTGACGTTTGGATATTTACCCTTCGTATTATGGTAGCACACATGAGATTCCAGCCCACTTATCACAGAATCATAGAATGTCCTGCGTTGGCAGGGACCTCAAAGATCACTTAGTGCCAATCCCCATGCCATGGGCAGGGACACCTTCCACTAGACCAGGCTGCTCAAGAGCTCCATCCAACCTGGCTTTGACATTTCCAGGGATGGGGCATCCACAACCACTCTGGGCAACCTGTTCCAGTGCATTGCCACCCTCACAGTAAAGAATGTCTTCCTAATATCTAATCTAGACCTACTCTCTCTCAGTTTAAAACCATGAGGGTGGGGTCTGACCAGAGCAGAGGTGCAGAATCCCCTCCCTCAACCTGCTGGCCACACTGCTTTTGATATAGCTCAGGATACAATTGGCTTTCTAGGCTGTGAGTGCACATCACTGGCTCATGTCCAGCCACTCATCCACCAGCGCCCCCAAGTCCTTCTGGGCCCGGCCTGCTCTCAACCCCTTCATCCCCCAGCCTGTATTGATACTAGGGGTTGCCCTGACCCAGGTGCAGCACCTTGCACTTGGTCTTGTTAAACCTTATGAGATTCCCATGGGCTTGAGCTTGTCCAGGTGCCTCTGGGTGCCATCCCATCCTTCAGGTTTATCAACCGCACCACTCAGCTTAATGTCATCTGAAAATTTCTTGAAGGTGCACTCCATCCCTTCATCTATGTCCTTAATGAAGATATTAAATAATACTGGTCCCAGTATGGACCCCTGAGGGATACACTTATGATGTACAGTAAGATTTAAACAAGCAAAACCGAATAGTGACCAATCCAAGAAGTTTATGCCTAATTCACCTGCCCATTCAGATGGCTGAAATTGTTAAGTATTAGATGCCATGTTTCCATGTTAGTGAGAGGTACTCACCTGATCAGAAGCATAAGCCACCAGCCTGCCCATGATCTCTGCTTCTGTTAGCTCAGGCTTTTCTGACTGCACACGTCTGATCGTTTTTGTTCTAGCAGCAAGCAGTGAAATCAGGGTGGCCTCACTTGCACTTCCCTGTGGGACAAATTGAGGGAAGGTTCAAAATGAAAACATTCCAGAAGAAGAAAAGCAATGTTTTCTTCTGCATGAATCTGCGAAGTTGTTAACAAAAACTGCAGATGAGAAACTGTGCAATCCCCCACTTTTAAAAATATGTCTGACAGCAAGGGCGGAACCTGTGTTTAATCTTTGTCTCCTCCTTCTTGATGCCTCTGCCTATTTTCTTTAATCTCTATGCCTGTTCAGCTTAGGCACCGGCCTTGCAGACAGTGCTAGAAAGCTGGACTCACAGACTTAAATGTAAGTGAAAAGGCTCTCAAATCAGGCACTAATCAGTTGTTAACCAGTAACCATGGCAGGCTAACTGCTGATTTCTGTTCTAACTCTGGATTTCTGCTCATTTAAGTTCCATCAGGATCTGAACATCAGCTCTCACTTCTATCAAGCAACATGCCTAATTATATGTCTTCTCTGACATTAGAATTACCCTGCGTAAGTCAATTATTGTGTCTAAAAGAGAAAAAACACTGAAAAACAAAAAATGCTGATTGATTATAGCTAATTGCATTTCAAAGTATTAGTTATGTATGTTTTCTTTCACAAACACACAGATGAAAAGAACAGTTACACACTATTTCTAAATTGCTCTTTGACTCACAAAACATCAGTTTAAAATGTGCCTTGGATACTCTGTGACAACAAAAGGGGGAATTTTTTTGTATCAATTTTTCAGTAGATTTCACAGAATACAACTTTCCAAAAATTCTTTTTACAGTTTTCATCTAGAATAGGCAGAAGAGACATGCTCTAAACTGCTCTTTTAAACCACAAGTAACAGTTTGTAAACATGTGTTCATAAATTTCAATGTATTGGGGTATCTTATGCAAGATCAAGATTTTAGGTACTTTAAAAGTTAATCAATCATCATGTGAATCATAACAGTGCAATGGATACAGTCGATTATATTAATATGTATGTCTCTGAAATATCCCAAGTGTCAACAAACTCATTTTGGAGTGATGTTTTTTGTCCTGTAGCAAAATTCTATCTTCCCTCTGTTGAAGACCTATGTATACTTAGTAATTACAACAAATGTTTAAATACTTGAGAAGTCTTTTTTCTTCCCTGAAGATGGGCCTGATCTGACAGATTTCATACATCAAAATGATCCCAGTGAATTCAGAGTTTCTCCTATACTGAAATTAGCTGAGCTATTTTTATAAGACAAAGGTGCCTTTTACACATGGAGAAATCATCCTACTGTTTCTGTCTAAGAAGTCAAAATATCTGAAATAAAATAACTGTTTATACTGTTAGTGTATTTCCAGGACATGTAAGGAATATGCACATTAAAAAAATGTGCACATATATATGAAAGAAAATGGCTGTAAGAAATTACAACGGTTAAGGCATTAATTTGAGATCTGGAAATTTAGGCCTGCACTATTCTGGTGACAGCCTGGTTGGGTGGGTGAATGACTTAGGCTGAAGAATAGCCTCAGCTTTCTGAGGAGTTCCACAAGATATCCTGGCTGTTCATCCAGACTGGTGCATAGTCAATGTAAACAACAGTTCTTGTATGAATTTCCTGATACAGAAACATGGATGAAAAGGAAAGGGCCTGCTGCCCAGCTGAGTCTTGCCTTCTGATATACAGCTGGGCCATAGCCTAAATAAAGGCACCTGAATCCGGCAACTTGGAGATGCTTTTGGATGTCTCACAATAGACACAGGCTTTTTCACCTTGCCTCAGTTTCCATAAATCACCTTTTTTATACTGAGTCACCTTTTCTATACTGAAGCTTACAGTGTTTGCAGAACCTGGTTTCCAAGGCTCTTCTAAACACTTTGCACCAAAGTCTTGCACTAAATATTTTTAAGGAAAAAACCCCCCTTGGTTCTTGAACTACTTGGCTAACTGACAAACAAGATAAATCAGCAGTGTTCCTTGCCAGGCCAACGATATTTTTGTCTCACCCCTAAAATACTTTGCTGAGCAAAAAAAACTCTTTAAAATTCACTTTCCAGCAATTTATCTAGAATGAACAGCAGGATACAAACTTCAGGAAGAAAGTTGCTTTCTCATTTATTTTTAAAAGCTGTTTTTTCCCCCTCTTGAATGCTGTATTCTACATTAAGTGAAGGATGATGATACCTTTCCTTTTACCACAAGCAAACAAAGGTTGCCATGGCAAGCAGGCTCAAGAGGCGGAAGAAATATCAGCAAGAGCTGATGTTCATGTCCACCAGAGCTCTGAACTGAAATTTTCTTTCATCTTTTGCCATTTTGAAGTGTCATCCTGCACACAACAACAAAGTGCTTCATATTGACATAGACTTTCAAATGTAATTAAGAGCCAATTTTCGCAGGCTCGGTTTTACCCAATACCACAATAATTACTTGGCATTTACCAAGAGAATGACTGGCACTTTCACACACTCCTGTTGTCTTTGCCTCACACTTTGCCTCTTATTTGTATCATTATTGTTTCAGGAGCAAGATGAAGATCTGCAGCCCAAATGACTGCATTGTAAGCAGGAACACAGCCCACTTTCGATTTTTGAAACTGACTGGTTTCTGATGAAAATTATGGGCAATCCAGCACTGTCAGCCTGGAAGGGCAATATTTCCTGCTGATAACAATCAGGCATAATTGCTTGCTTTCACTGGTACAAAAGAGATGCTGCTAAGATGCACAACGAAAGCTTGATTTCTTGAATGTAACCCCCTCCCTAGCAATCGTAATGATAAAGATACTAACAGGGCAAGGAGATGAATAAAGAACCATACTGTAAATGCACTGGTGTAGGTGCAGCTCCATCTAGGAGAATCAAAACAGTTGGGTTAAATTCATTCTTGCCTTGGAAGATGTTGGGAAGAATTCATTGGAATATGCTGTAGGCATTTGCAGCTGAGATCAAAGAAAGAAGCCTCTGATTCTAGCCTCTAATTTAGATGTATATTAGAAGTCTGTCTTGTGATAAAATGGATTGTGCCCTGGCCTCCAATGACCAGACTCCAGAGACTATCAAAGGAGCACAGAACAATTATTTAAAATTTAGTCTTTTTCTATTTAAATAGATTAATAGCTGTGACCAGAGCTGCATTTGCAGAATGACCATGCGCTAGTGGAGCTATGGCTGACAAATAATATAGCATTATTATGCAGGCAAGTTTGCCCATTGATGACATATTCATTATTGATCATGTTATCTGTTCAGACACTGTAGGTTTCATTAAGCAGTCAGTGTCAAAGTTTGGGGTTTTGTTCTATTTTGAAGATGCAGTGTAGTCTGAAAATGGAATTATCTACTGATAGTACTGCTTAGGTTCAACTTTTAAGCAGTTCTTCATTTTATTGTAATATTCCCATATTTCTTAAAATAATTTCAACTTCTTTGGCAAAGAGTGACAGACTTTCTACAACATTCTGCTATTTCTATGTATCGAAGATTATCTCCTATGTTGTTATCCATTGCTTGATCTCCGACACTTTTTCTCCTAAAAAAAAAAGCAAACAGGAAGGCTCTTTTGAAAATTGACTGAAGTAAACAATTGCACACGTATAAGGTGGACTTCATGGAAGCCTTTGTAAGCACTTTTCATGCTGCTCTACTCAAATCCTCAGATATATTTCTATTTGAGAAGATTTTTTATAATTTCAGCTATGAGCCATTGCCGCACATTGTTGGTAGGTATGAGTTCAATTCATTGATCAACAAATTAAATTATTCTGGTTTGAATTTTAAGCCTAAACTGTGCTTTTAAATTGAACTACTAGTAATTCTTCACAGAGAAGTGTTTCAGAAATCAGCTGCTCTAAAATCAAAACATTCATGTCATTACTTTCATGAATGATCCTACCCGCCTATGGACCTTCTCACAGAGCATCAATCTTTTTGAAAATTAGAAAGGAACCCATGTGGCAGAAAAAAAAATTTATTCCCTTTATTAGTGTCTTAGTATAAAGATTTCACAAAATCATCAATTCACAAACTCAATTTGTATTCTTTTTTCAGGTCCCCTCTTACCTGAATGACTCCTCCACCTTGGCCATCCTTCCCAGCTAAAAACTCTTGAGGCAAATTAATCATCTTCCCTAGCCAATCCAGCATGACAGTCTCCAGCTCTGTGCAAGCTGGACTTGCAGCCTGTGTTGAAAACCAGAACATAGAGAATAACCTCACTACACCATGAAGTGAAATAAGATCTACCAGAGCAAGAATAATTCTTTCTCTGTCTTTTCACTATGGAGGAAGAGACTAGATGACTAATGTTACCAGCCAAATTAGGAACCTGAAGACCACTTTTTGCATGCTGTTTCTAATACTTACAAAAAGAATATCAAAATAGGCCTTACAAAGAACTGTAACTATCAAATGTCAAAGCTAGGATTTACATCTTGCTTTTTTTTTTCAACATCCAATACCAGCCTCTTTTGAGAAGAGTCCGCCTCATATGAATGTGAGGTTTTTAACACAGTTTTCCATTCATCCAGATGAAATGAGAAATAACAACAGTGGGTGATAGACAGTAGTCATATACTTATTGAATTACCAGGGAGTTTGCAAACTGCTACTACTAATTCTAAATGCTGGTGATTTTTAAAGGTCAAAACTTTTAAGAGGAAATAGCCTTTTATTCCTCGAGTTATTCAGAGTGTCTGTGTGAAAACACTTAATTAGTTAAGGAAATTTACCTGCAAAAATAGTCCTGTGACTTCATTGCTATTAAGCAATAATTTCATTGTAGAATGTTACTGAAATGCTTAAAATCTTGGCAAGGTGAAGCATCATTACCACACAGCAGTACACACTGGAGTAAACTTACCCAAGAGAAGCCCACACATCCTATTCCACCACACAACATATCTGCAAGAAGAGCTGGGAAGGAAGAGGCTGCAGGGAAGTAGGCAAAAAAGTACGGACTGTGCCAATGAGTCACCTGTATTAAGGGGGAAAATAGTTACTTTTAACTAACGCAGGAAGCAGAAATAAATTGTCACAAAATTAGAAGGTTGGAGTTTGAGACAAGCCAACAGTGCTTAACTACCTGGCTGTAACAGAAGATCTCATTTTTTAGAAGAACTTACCTTGTTTTTTCACAATGTTTTATCTACCTTTTACTCAAATTAAAAATAAATTGGTTCTCACCTTCACTTCCCAACAGTTCCAAAACCAGAGTTCTCCAGCCTAAGCTTCTGCGCAGGACACTATTCTTGAGCCTCTGCTGTCAGGGACTCCCTGGTATTTTGTTCTTCCATCTCTGTCATGAAACTGCCTTAGTAATAGTGTCTTCAGTGCAGCAGAGGTCCACAGAACTCTCTTGTCCACACTCTGGTGTTATTTGTTAACATTCAAGCACTTAATGTAATATCTAAGCAATTTTAAGGATCTGTGAGATACTTGATAATGCTCCACAACTCCAATCTAATAAAATTCAAAAACGGGAAATGTACAGCCACATTGCAATGATCATGGGACATAATGTGATATGATAATGTGCTATGTTTGGCAAAAACAACTTTCACATTCAAGGTAAAAGGCATATTTTCTAAGAAGTGCTTCTAGAGGATTAGATGAACTATAAAGTGATAATTCAGCAGAACATGTATAAGATTTTTTTCTTGGGGGTAATTCAGAGGCTGATGAGATTTTGAAGGCTAGCCTTTTCTTACATCATTTTGTTTCCTCTTTTTTAATACTGGAATTCTTCTGTTACAACCAGAGGGGAGAAAGAATACACATTCTCTCTTGCCTGAGTTCAGTGTTTCTTTGCTGTTTTGTTCTGCATTCCCATCTCTCAAGAATTTTACCTTTTACACTCCTCTCTCCCAGTCTGTGATAAGGTTTCTGATTCTGGAGCTAACTCAGGAATCACTCTACTGCACTGTTCTGCATTCTGCAAATATCCCTTTTTTTCCTCTTCTAACCTTCTTCATGCCAACCACCAGCTCTTCCTGAAAGGACAAGCTTCATGCTAAGGGGAAACTGTCTTAACTCTTGCATACACAATGAATCAGGCATCACTTCTCTTGCTGTAGTATACCATATATAAAATTTCAGATGTCCCTATCTCTTTCATATGAAAACAGCTTCTATCTATTACAATTTTTCACTGTATAAACTAGGCCTGTACCTGGTATGTTCAAGATTTCATTTTTCTCATCACTAGGTCCAAACCTGTCAAATCAGCTATCCAAAGACAAGCCACTGTTAACATTTCCAGCTGCATCTCATAGTTGGTCTGGATCTCCTTCTTTGCTGTAACAAAGTTTAGAGCACTTGTGGTAAACACTTTCCTTCACAAATCAGAAAAAATTGTATGGGACTTGGTTCTTCACAAGAAAACAATAAAATATTCAAGAAACAGTGGTCCCTGATAGAACCCATCACACTTTCACTGACGTCCATAACACGCCAGGGCTGCCACTGTGCATCTCGCCAGCTCTAATTCTCTGTGATCTGTAAGACTTGTGACATTCATCTTGGGTTAATCAAGTTAAACTGACTGCTTGCTGGGAGCCATTTATTTGATGAAACACAGCAGATTTCAGTTGCACTACTCACATAAAGCAAAAAAGCTAAAAGCCCTAGGGCAAGCGCAGCTGCGGTTCTTCCTCCTGCCTCCCCTTCCCCCTCCTCTTGAAGCAGCTGTAAAATTCTTTTTTTTCACCATGTTGGAACAGACACACTTAGTCAAATATTGCAAAGACAGCATAATTGATGCTTGTTTTTTCAGCCTGCTGCTGATAAATAATGATACACAAGTGTCTTGGGTTCACTTTAATTACCACTCTAATGCTTCTCAGATACATGTGATTTCCAGTATTTCTTCTAAGGATGTCTTTCTCTGGCTGCCTTAGTCTAAGAAACAGTCTTCCCTTACCACACACTAAAGATAGGTACTTCAGCTGAAAGTTCATACATTAATAGATCCAATGTGAGGAAAAGTAGCATATTCAGTACTGATATTTGCAGTTACAACTACACTCATCTTTGGCTCTGAAAAAGGAGGAGATACATTTTAAAAGAACAAAGCAAATCTGAGAGAGGAAAGTGACTCCCATTGATATTTATATAGGCAGATCCTTTCCATGTTGCCTTCCTGCTGTGGAGATCAGAGTTCACTGGTTGTTCCCTCTGTCCCTGTGTAAATACCAGGAATTTAGCACAATTATTGTCATCATCATTTGGTGGACTGCCCTTTGGAGGTCTACATTACATTTCACAATAAGTCTCCATAAAGAAGTTTCACCACTTATGAATGCTTGTTCTCCTATAGGGTAAAGACAGCAATGGATACTGCATAATTGCTTCACACTATTAATTGATCGTTGCTCCTCTGAAGGAACACCATTTTCACATTTTCAATCATCCAATCAGGAATCCCAGGCTCCTGAAATGCATGGGAAAAGACTTGAGCAAGAAAGACCTTACCTGAAGAAGGATCAAGTTAGGACACATTTAAATAAACTGGATATACATAAGTCCATGAAGCTTAATGGGATGCACTCACAAGTGCTGCAGGAGCTAAAGGGTGTCACTGAGACCTCTCTCAAACATCTTTGTAAGGTTACAACAACTGGGGAACGTTCCAGAAGACTGGAAAAAAGCAAATGTCACTCCTATCTTCAAGAAGGGCTAGAAGAATGATATTTGAAACTACAGGCCTCACCTCAATCTCAGGGAAGATGAAAGAACCTTTAAGCTATTTCCAAACATGGGACAAGAAGGTTATTTGGGCTAGGCAGCAAAGCTTTGTGAATGGGAAAGGCTAGTACTGTTTAACATCTTCATTAAAGACCAGGATGATGTGATAGAGTGCACCCTCAGCAGTGTTGCAGATGACATAAAACTGGGAGGAGTGTTTGATATACGGTATGGTCATGCTGCAATTCAAAGGGACACTAACAGGCTGCAGAAATGGGCCAACAGGAATCCCATAAAGTTCAACAGAGAAATGCAAAATCCCATACCAGGGGAGGAATAACCTCCTGCACCAGTATATGCCAGGGCTGGCAAGCAACTCTGAAGAAATGGGCATGGGAGTCCTGGTGGACAAGCTAAACATAAGCCAGCAATGTGCCCTTGCAGCAAACAATGCCAGCAGCATTGTTGTGCCACATTAGGAAAATTGTTGCCAACAGGTTAAAAGAGGTAATCCTTCTTTTCTTTGCAGCACTAGTAAGGCCACACCTGGAATGCTGTGTCCAGTTCTGGGTTCTTCAGGACAAGAAAGAAAGACATGGTCATACTGGAGTGATTCCAGTGAAAGGCCAGTGGAGATGATTAATTGCAGCTGGGATTGTGTTAACCTTCTTTACCTCATGGGAGGGTGTAAAGAAGGTGAAGTCAGATTCTTCTCAGCAGTATCCAGTGACAAGACAGCAAGAAATGTATACAAATGGAAATACAGAAAATTCTACTTAAACATAAGCAAAAGCTTTTTTACTGTGAGACAGTTCCAACCTTGGAATAGGACAACAGATTGCGAAGAGTTCATCCTTGGAGATATTCCATGACCAATTGGACATAGTCCTAAACAACTCGCTCTAACTGACTCAGCCTTGAGCAGTGGGGGTCGGCTAAATGATCTCCAGAGGTACCATCCAATCACTACTATACTATGAGCTCATGATTCTGTGCTCACGTGAGTCTTCAGAATTTAGTATAAACAACACAGGCAGAATCAGAGTTACTATAAGAACTGGGATTTTTGTACTTGTGCTCTTTGTGTCACTAACACTAACATTTCACAGCAGTGGAAAGATTTTGGTTAGAACATTTCTTCTTCAGAATGTATCATTTTGTAAAAGGAAACTTGTTTGAAGGGAATATAAATATCAAGAAAAAATCCATTTAGTTAGGAGGGAACGTGACATATTGATGACATAATTGGAATTCAATGTCTCGCTTTCTATTCTCAAATGATTCATCTCTTATTTTTTTAATCTGGCATTATTTTATTGAATGTTCTTAAGTGCTCAAAGCAAAGTGTTTTCTGTTCTAATTCACAATCATTACCATTTTCCTCCAATGAAAAAGAAAAGACAATCATGTCTATGAGCAGCAATTAAAGTATTTGTATGTGTTGGATATAATTCTCTTATCTAATCTGCACTGATTTAACTCTGTTGGATTTAAGACTTCATCCACAAACCTTGGAAAAGAGTGGAGAGATTTCAATTGACTTCAGTGAAGCTTTTGCCTGCTAAAGGACAGTAGGGCTGGCTCCAAGGGAAACAAGATAAAGTCCTCTTGAATATCAAATATTTACATTGGTCAATGAAAAGGAATTGGTATTATAGTACACTGACTAACCACATTTGGAGATTGCAATGTCCACTTACATCACAATCGTATCACCAGCTACATCTAGAGAAGTAACCTAAGGTAGTTATTGCAGAGATCCAAAGGACAGATTCCTCATTAACATTGACTTATAATTCAGTCCTCTTCAAGCTACTTAGAGATCTTAGGAGACAAGCATATATTTAAAATAAAAAAGGTATACAATGAATGGAAAAACAACAAAGATTCAGATCTGGACAAATGCCAGATGCTTTGTTCTGCATTGTTGTCCAATACCGATCTATCCAAGGACTAATATTTAGGTAGTGCCCATCTGCCTTTAGGTACTAGAAGAAGCTGACATTTAGAGCACAAAGAGCACAAGTCAACAGAACAAGTATTGGGGAGAATCCTTTCTAGTCAACTCTGTAATAGAAAGAAGTCTCCTAAGAGAATTTTAACATTTAAAGATCAGCTTGAAAGAACACTTTAGGCACAGCAGACTAATAAAATTACCATTTTGTAAAATATTTACTGTGCTATGAGGGTAGAAAAAATATCACATGAAATTGAAAGTTATAAAGCTTTGCCTTAACCAATTCAAGGGAGGAAAGGGGATTATTTCCAAAAGTAAGCCTTGCTTGAAGCAAAAGAATTATTCGATTATTTCTAGGAAGAACAGAAAACATTAGTTGTGTAAAGTGTGAGATCATATTTAACATGTAAAGGCTCCTGCCTTCTAAAAGTTTAATAGTGTGGGTACTTATGTTGGTAAGGTCCAGCTGCACAGCCTTCAACCCATGCTTTCTTTAAAGTCTTTGAAAACCTAAATGCAGTACTGAACATTACACTACAAATCCATTTTTCTTACCCCTGGCATAATGATCTTCTCAATATCTTTAAAGATATCCTCGAAGCTCTCAGGCTCCTGGGGTGCACAGTCTGCGATGAGGGGCCTTAGGTATCCTGGTTCCACATCTGGGAAGACCTGTCTTTTATCTATCTTCTCCAGGTAATCTGCAACATAGTCCACCATCTCCTTCCCTCTCTTGCGGAATTCTGCAGCATCCATGGGTATCAGAGTTTAGGGCTTATTATCAGAGAAACACTTCAAAAAAAAGGGGAAAAAAAGTCATTTTTGAAAGAAAATTTTACTAGCTTTAAACATGTTATTCATATGATTTATAGGATGATTCATACGGTCATGATGTAGATTACCTTAATACAGATAGCCAGCATCTTTAGCACAGAAGAACAGCAGAAGCACATTGATGAAGTCTCAGAAATTACAGATTTAATCCCTACGGCTGCTGGTGGATACAAGGATGTGGCACTGTTAAGTGGCACATAATCTACTCCCTCCTGCCTTATAAAGAAGAGGTCTAAGAAAATAGCATGCTGTGTGTCTCTATTATGATCTGTAATAACAAGTTATAATAATCACAGTTATCACAGTGATCCACTGTGCCACCCTGTCATTTTATCTGCTTCTTGACTCCTGTCTTGCCTCAAGATTTAACTCCTTTACTCTTTCACTATGAATGCATATGCTGTGTTACCTACTAAACCTGATCTATTAATGAGGTTTTAAATAGAATTCACTTCAAGTTGATCTGTACTGCGTTTTGCAGGAGGATGTGAGGAAGCTCTCTCTAGGGCTGTCCATATTTCCAAGATGCTGGGCTGGAGATCCAGATGTGCTTTGAGACAGGCAGAGACTGTGTGAGCACACCCAAGCTGAGATGAGCTGGAGTTTGCCTGCAAAGTGCTTTGCAAACATAAATTCGCAATATTAGGGGTGCCTGCTCCTGCCACCCTGACCCACCCAAATTTTTTACTCTATGTGTCTGTGCATTGAGTACTTGGCGAAGATTGAGACCACAGTGGCTAAAAAGTGTCTAGAGTCTTTATACACTCAGGTTGAATGGTACTGTTCCTTGGAAGCTAGTAAGAAAACTAGCAAGTGAAATGAGGACACTCACTGCTGGTGTCAAGAATTACTATGCTTAGTTCACATATATTCAGTTCTTCACTTTGTAAAGAAATAATTACTGTAAGCACAATGTGAATATTCGGTAATTAAGACACAACTCTTCAGATAGCAAGTATTCGTGCTAAGGATTTATAACTGAGGACATCTCTTTGAGAAAAGAGACCCCTCTGGACTTTATTATATTTGAACCAGTACTGTAACATCACAAAAGAAAGACATCATTGATAAACACTGTCCTAGAGACATCTCGGCTGCTACAAATTGAGGATCTGGGATTTGTGTGGAGCAGCTGCTGCTGCCGCTATTTAAGAAGGCTGGGTGCTGCTGTAGGTCACGAACCACCTGGGAAAGCAAGGATCTGCACAGTAGGGACTTCAAGACTCCACAGAGAATAGCTGTTCTTGTTGCTATTTTACTAGAGTTATATTACTCTCCTTAACCATTATGGAAGTTATTATTTGGCTCTGTCTATGCTTTTCTGAAAAGCGTATTAGGACCTTTCTCAGATCTTGCTACTAAGTTGCTGCAAACACATTGCCAGTAGTCATTACCGTCCTCAGAGGATTCTGGTGGGCAGCTTTATGTGTCATCTCCCTTTTGAAAGCCTGTTTAAGGGAGCAGTTTTGCTTCTACTCCTTAAAATTAGGATGATTCTATTTCTTCAATACCTCCCTAATCTTATGTGCCTTTTCATTTAACACATCTTTGTTCACAGTTCAGCATGAACTTCAGCAATCAATGTGCATCTCTGTGGCAGCAACCTAATTACACCTCAAGGCTCAGTTCTCTGGTTTAGATATTTTTGCCAGAAGAAATCTAAATATTGTACTGTTGCATTTCTTTTTCAATATATCTCTAACTTAACCCTTAACTTATGCTGGTTTTATTTCTTTTATGCTACTTCATTAACGAGTTCATTGCTATAACATGCTCTAAAGAACTTGCATAAGGTAATCTTATTTTTTTCTCTAGTTTCAGAGATAAAAGCTGAGAAAACAAGAATTTAACACACAATGACAAATTAGTAGGAGATGCCTGAGACTGAACTGACTCAGAACTTGAGGACTGGTGTTTCCAGCACTACTGCTGCTCACCACAGTGTTATAGTCATTCCTACAGACTTTTACACATTGATCAGTTCATCTGAGTATCTCATTCCATATCTGTGGATACAGTGAACCACAAGTACAATGTCAAGACAGGTAAGAGTATGTAAGAGTATGACTACAGTACCCTCTAGATTTACTTCATAGTAATCAAACATAGATTAACACCATTTAACATAGAAACCTCCATGGATTGCTTGGGCTTTTCCCAAAATATAAATCAAAAGGCATAAATTAAATTACATTGTGTGTAAGCTCAAAACAGCTCACAAACACATAGACAAAAATAAATTTACTTAATCATATTACCACAACGGAGATGGTATGTTACATAGCTTGTGACCATTTTTCTTCCACCTAGATTTTTTTGTCTGAAATTGATTTCTATTGCAAATAATATTTACATCATCTTGTTGCTATACAGTGTGCTGATATAATTTATTGTCATTTTTATTATTAGAAGTTTGGACAAAGTTCTTTTCAGATATCAGTATAAGCAAATAAAATTTATATCTAAACATCAGATACACATTCTGTGGTTTCATCCTATCAATGAAACTGACACTGAACTGGAATTGAAATTTGTCAGTCCAACTTGACAAAATACATATTTTAGATAATCACTGAGATCTTAGAATCATAGAATCATAGAATCGATTGGGTTGGAAAAGACCTCCGAGATCATCGAGTCCAACCCTTGGTCCAAATCCAGTCCATTTACTAGATCATGGCACTCAGTGCCACGTCCAATCTGTGTTTAAAAATCTCCAGGGATGGTGAATCCACCACCTCTCTGGGCAGCCCATTCCAATGCCTGTTTGTTATTTACTCATTATACTTCTTCCCAAGAACTGGAGGTCCACTGGCTCATCCTAGCATTGTTTTGGCTGTACTGCTTCTGTCATAAATCACTGTTGCAATAACATTCTTAAAATTCAGGATAAGTAATTAAATTACAGGGGAAACTCACTGGTTTTAACTGAACCAGGAACCTCAGAATAAAGAATGGGAGCCTTCCATCTGAAATAGGCTACACTGGTTGCAGTGCTATAAATTGTTATAAACTAGTATTTACTTAACCTCAAATATACTTAGAATTCAGTTTGATCGAGTGAAATATATCAATCTGCTTCAATCTGAAGCAGAGTATTCCATTCTTCTTTCCCCCAAAGGCGATACTGAGAAATTAAAAATCTACTTCTTTTGTATCCATGAATCTTCTTTCTTAAAAGTCCTTGCCTGAAAATTCCTACTTACTGTAATACACATATCTCATGGGGAAACTGTGAAGGCATACTCCTTGCAGGAACACAGTGGTCACCCTTTTCACCTCCTATTTTACATTTCTTCTCTGTCAGTGACAAGACCCACTTACAGAGGGTCTTATTTTTATTCTCTTCCTGAACTGTTCACTACAAACCTCACTTCATCTGCTTGAAATTACTACTTGCTGTGGAAGCCACATCCAGCAGACAGTTGTAATGCTTACCAGTTAATCTCTCAAAGGACAAATTACTTCACCTCTCTACCAGTAGCGAATATTTCCATGCCCTGCGTGCATATTCAGCACATGTACAATGCAACAACACAATGCATAGAGACCTTCCCTCTATGCCACTATATTTTAAAAATACAGAATGTAATTTTCCAAGAAGCAAAATACGTCAGACAACTCAGCCCTTAGGGTTGAAAGTGAAACACTGTTTCAGAGAATCCGTATTTTCTGAAGGGATGAGCGTTACAGTCTGCGTGCTCTCAAAATATCCACTTAAGTCAAAAGAACCTAAACTGCAAAATAATGAAGGCCAAGTTTCCAAAACTAAATGGAAATTTCAGAGAAACTAAGCCTCTCCCTAAAGTATTTAATAGTGGTCTATCTTCTTGAAGGCCCCTAAAGAGCGAGGAGAGCTCCACGCTTCCAGAGATCTCACACCTTCCAGGATGTATTTCAGCTTATTCAGGATCTGCCCGCTGAACCCCAAGCGAGGAGAGCACAGCTTCTCAGGAAGCACCCTGCCTAATTATCAACCTCTACCACATTGTAAACTGTCTGTATGCAAAGACATTGACAGTCTCACTCTGATTGATAAAATACAGTTTTACCAAACATATATTATGTCTGAGAATTTTTGTTCCCAGCAAGAATCAACGACTATTGTCACCACTGCATACTTCGGATCAAATCCTATTTTACTGGAGAAGATTGAGTTCTGCTCTAAACTGCAGGTAAAAACAAGAACAATCATGTTAACCTTAAATTATATCAATGTATCTTTTTTAGTATTATTTATTCATGTAAACTCTTAGGTCTTTGATTTTGCTGTAATTTGTCAGAGGACAAGTACACTTTCGTTCATTCACTCATGGCTAGGCTTCGCGAACGAAGATTTGGGTAACACTAAACAATCTAAAGTTGACATATCCTTTGCTGCTTTGTGTCAACTACTCCTTCTACCTCAGTGAACTGAAATTAGAACATGGCCACACCTTTTTTTAGTGGAGTTACCAAAAATTGTTGTTAGCCTTTAAATTGCATATGTTCATTTGCAAACAGTTTTCTGCTTTATTTAAACTGAACCATGCAAATGAGCAGTTTACACACAATTAATTACTAAATACATTTATAGTTACAATATTATGTTGATAAATTCAGCTTTTTCGATATTTCTGTTAAAAGGTCTATAATTTTAGATTCTGTTTGTTTGGGGGGGAGTTGTATTTACTAAATATAAATGTAAAAGATACCTAAATGCTACCAGGAAATTTGTTATGAGGAAGAAAAAAAAAAAAAGATGAAAAAGAGAAAAAAAGGGGAAAAGAGGAAAAGGAGAGCAAATGAAGAGAGAGATATATTTGATATATTACAATTTTATGTGTGCCTGTTCTCCAGTTCATCAAAGTAAAATAAACAGCTAACATAATAAAATCTTTTAGCAGCTCCTATTATTAAATACAGACAGGAAGAACACATAGACACGTTAATAGCACCTAAAACTGATAGCTGTATTTGCTCAAAAAAACTAATAACTCTGTATCTTTCCAATAAATGAGAAAAGTGCATTTTCTATTCTGCCAACTGATTGTGCAGAACAAAATGTAATTTAAAGGCTCATGGTGCTACAGTGACACCACTGAAGCTATTAGAACTTCCTGCTACTGAACCTAACTGAAGGTTTTTGCTACTGCTAAACTAAACTTCTACGTTGGCAATGGGATATTGCCTGAAAAAGGACTGCAGGATGAATTTTATTTCAGCATGAGTAAAAAGGAACTGGATTTACTCTGTGCTTCTACCTTTGCAAAAGCCAAGAATTAGGAATATCTCTTAAGAGTCCTCACATTTTATTTAAAAAATTACATTTTCCAGTTAGAAGTTGCTTACTGTATTCATTGCTGTCATTGGCACAGAGTCTGCAACTTCGTAATTTTCCCTTCTGAGGTCTTACTCTAGTGACGGGAAAGGGTTATTTCTGAGGAAAACCTCATCCTAAAAAGTTATGAGTTTAATTTATCTTGAAATTTTATTATTCAAAATATTTGGCAGAAAATTTCCCAAGGTCTACTTGGTTATTCCAAGCACTCCTGTATTTGGAAAGACAAGATACAAACTTTTTGGATACATGGGATTCTGCATAAATGTATATAAGCAGTTACAGCTGACATACAGCAGATGTAAAAAGAAGTAAAATCAAAATGAGAGGTACACGATACATTGTGCAAACTTAGATTAAAAATAAATGCTTTTCTTTTTATTATTATGCCTAAAATAACACAAGCTGGCTGTTTATTAGCTGAGCTCCCACTCTCAGTAACCAATTGTTGCATTAATCCAAATGTACCTACTTGAATTTAATAACCACAAAGCCTTAAGGACAAAGAATGTTACTTACACAGAGTTGGTTTTTCCTTCTCCTCTGTCTTTCTCACTGTCTTTCTTTGCTCCTCTGTCACAGCTATAAAGTGGAGAGGATGCAGTTGCCTGCATATATAGGCAGAGTATCCGTGTCCCTTCAGCCTATCAGAGCCAAGGGCTTTGCACTGAACATGCAGCAGCAGCATCTCTCCCTCCCTCCCTCCCACACCTCCTCCAAAATATACTCAGCAAAAAAAAAAACCACCCGAAAGGCAGACGGATCTGATCGAGAAGCAGCCACTGCCTGCTTAACTATGGAGTGGTGTGTGCTTTCTTCCAGGGACTCCATTAACAAGTCTGAGCTCATTACAGTGAGTGATCACATGCGCCCGCTCTGTGTTACACACTCCAGGACATTTTTGCTGAGGCTGCTGCTGTAAGAGCACATGCTTTGATCCACTTCGTGAAACATTATTTCCAGAAAACAAACACAGATATGACTGAAATACCACTCAGGTGACTGCTAATTCTGAACAGGTATATATGTGGGATTAACATCCCTGGATATGCTTTATCCAACTTCTTTCAGTTTCTCTCTTTCATCATATGTATACTTAAAAGCAATACTAAGTGTTCAAGATTTCTTTTCCTATTCTAAAAGTTTTATGTGGAGTTCTCTTTTCTAGATGAATCCAGGTAACTTCCTGTCATTTTTATGTGGTTCAAGTTAATTAAAAAAAAAATACTATCAGCATTTCATAGTCCTGATCAGCTTATAGCCAGGTAGCGTCGCAGATTTGGGACAGTCACTGCTCCTACACCAGTCTCCAGTACACTGCAGTATTGCAGCCAACCTTTTTATGAAGGAGGAAGAAGCCCTGGCTGTCATATATTTTAAAACTGTCGTGGCTGTGTTTGCTCTTCTAATGTTATAAGACCAAATACAACTCCACTACAATTCTGGAAGAGTCTATTCAAAATAAAAACAGGACCTAAACTCCACACGTCAACTTGCTAGTACCAGTACACTTGTTGTGCTAGATATTATTCTGTGATGTGACTTGCATTCTCAGTGCCCAGACTGGCTGCTGTAATGATTTGTCTATGATCTTGAAATGCATCAAGAAATCTCAGAGTCAGTTGCTAGTGACTCTGTTGTTTTGGGTTTTTTTCCACAGCAAATCAACTCCTGAGCGTTCAGAGTTACAGTCTCGATATATTGGGAACCCTTAAAAATACAAGTGTTTTGGATACTTCTCCTATTTTTTCTTCCTCCCTGAATTTGACTGAAAAAGGCTGAAAATTCAAAATTTGTTTTAAGGGTATAAGAGATGCAGAAACTGAAGACGTCTCTAGTAAACTTGAAGATAATTGAAATCTCACTTCAATGTTTCACCTAAATGGCTTGCACAAGGTAAATAACTTTCAAAGGAAACTAAAAATGGAAACTAAAATTAAGACTGGAGTCCTAAAATTGTGGTTTCATCAGTGTTGAAATACCACCTGACATGTTTTTATTTTTCTGCTGTACCTGTAAATCTTCCTGTGAACAGACAATAATCACATTTTCTTTTTTTTTTTTTTAATTCCTCAGGAAGAAAAAGGAAATAAAGTGGCAGACGTACAACAGGCAAGCTGGAAAAGGGAAATTAAATGCACTTCTAAAAAGCATGTTCCATGTCTCTCTACAATTCTAGTAATTCTTCTGACTCCTACTACTTTCATAATTCTGATCATCAACTATTGGCAATACACAAATTTCGGCTTAACAGAATCTTTCTGTAGTGGACAAAAGCAAGATCACTAAGTTTTCTATCACAGGTGCTGACTAAGTCAGACCTGATGTGGCCCTCTGAATTTGCTCCAGATCCTTCAGTCTGCTGAAGGGCTTCAGGCTCTTTCACAGAGAATAACTTCTTTTACTGCTGAAACACAGTGAATAGAGATCTCCCCTTTACTGCCAAACTGTTTCAAAATTCAAGATAGAAGTGCGTGAGAAATAACAGATGATCCCAAAAGGTTTAAAGGCCTGGGCTTGTTGGTAAGCAACCAACAGACTGCATTATTCACACCTAACAAGAGACAAGCTTCAATATGTTTTTTGCACATGGAGGTATGTCACCCTGATGATGATATATAATGGTACTGTGCCCATGCAGTAATGGTATCAATTTCTTACCATTGCTGAACCCTTTGGTTTGCAAACAAGGTGGGAGAGATAATGTGTTTGAACAGGAGGCTTCAGCACAGCACCAGAAAACAATGCAGATAACCTGTTTTCAGTGACTTTGCAGTCCCATTGTCAGTTCAAGTGCAAAGACATGGATCAAAGCAGAGGAAGTTGTAACCGCTTTCTAATAGTTTTTACCTCTTCCACCACTGTACAATGAAGGTTAGAAATGAAAATGCAGTTTTCCCAGGCTTTCAGTCCAGTCATGATTAGATGATTTTACATTCAACTTTATTTTTCCCTCACCAGAATAGCCTGACAGTTATCATATGTTAGCCTCCTGGTATGGCTCTAGTTACTAAATTTGATCAAGGTGTGTTTGTGCTGTAGTTCACTGAGCCTAACATTATTTGAACAATACTGTTCTAAGCTATAACATGAAGGGCTTTTAATTGACTCAGATATCATCAGGACTTTAGATATTGAGAAAATAATTTGAAACAACTCATTAGAAATTGTATTAGCACAATGTTTGTGCCCGTTTTCCACATTTGGCATAAAAGGAACAGTCACTGTTGCCTAAGCATAAGAAAAAACACTGGTTTGTTGCTTAATATTTGGTTTTATCTGTAGCACAGGAACGTTATTTGGAGGCTGAAGGCCTTTTTTTCCTGTTTTCCTTGCTGTTGCTCCTTCAAAGAGAGAACAGTAGTAGAGCCCCATTTTTGTCTTTTTCTCCTCCACCCAATATTTTCTTCTATGAATCTAAAAATACCAGTAATGAAAAAGAAAGTTATCTACAGAAAGGTAAAATAAAGAAAAAAAAAAAACAAACTTGAAAATCACTCAGATGTACTGGAATGAAAAGTCCTTATATGTTCCATAAACAAGGTCCAAATCTGCATAAGCCATAAGGATGGGACAAGACAGAAGAGAATGTTTTAACCAAAATGTGCAACTAATAATTTTCTAAATTAAACAAAGGGTGCCTTTCCTTTGGAAGAAAGTAAGAATTAAATAAAGCCTTCAGACACAAATAGATGGATTACTTGCAACGTATGAGGATAAAACCTAAGTCTCCTGCAGAACATAAGCAGACTTTGCAACAGATTAGCCAAGAGATGAATCTCAGACAGTGCTGACAAACTGGGAAAGTAACTATCCTCTCCTTCATGAATATTTTATGTGTGACTTGTTTTCCCTGTTCAGTTCCTATTGCTGTCTGTGTGAACATGTGAAGGTAAACCAAAGAAGGATAAAAAGGAACTGCTAACGAAGTGAACATGGACACAGACTGAAACACACAGCTTCAGAAGAGCTACTGTACCACTTGCTGGTTCGAGGCAGCCTGAGCACATTACTCTTACAGAAGCAAGCCTACCAAAAAGAGAGAGGTTGTGATGAACTGAAGAAGTGTCAACAGAAAAACTGACAGGCTGTGAAGAGTTGCAGAGACAGTGAGAGCAGGCTGCAATCACAGGAGGCAGATTCTTCCAATAAAGAGATAGGAATAGCTTCTGCTGTGAGCTGAGAAGATGTGCTTACCTAGAGGCGTAGGCACTGCCAGGGCACTCGTCCAGCCGTGTATTGCTCGCAGAGAGAATTTTCTCAAGCATTGATTACTGTGAGCCTCACAGGGGCTGTGGCTGATAGATGAACTGCTATCAGGGCTTAAATCTGCTATGAAGACCTCAAGTTAGAAAAGCAAGTTATAGCAGTTAGTTTATGAATGGAATAGTCCACTGTGCGGATGAAAAGACAGACCCAGATGAGGCATGAAGAAGATGGCTTGAAATACAGGGGGAACGTAATGCAGCACTTGTTCTTACACAAGTGATTTGTTTGGATCACTGTTTGCAAAGATATCAAAGAACACCTAACAGTCGAGAAGACATTTTGTCACTGACTGTGATTAATGCCTTGTCATGACGGCCATGCACTACCATGCCCTACTTGCAAAAAGCTTCGAAGAGCATTTGTCACCCGTATAAGCCTTGAGTCACTCTTTGTAGGATGAGAACAACACTAGAGTCTCCCCATAAAGAGCATGTTGGTGCCCAGCTTTCTCAGATTACAGCAAATACTACGGCAAGGGATCATTCTGGTGTTTCTTGCCCTTCCTCCCTGTCAGCTTTGCCGCAAAGGTGTCCTTGGCTCTCCTTCAGTCTGTGCTAACACCTGCACCTTTCTAGAAAAGACCAATGCAAATCTTCTGAAGACTTTATGCTTATATAATATAAAATGTGCTGAATACATGGACTTTCTCCAAGAAAGAGAAATTACCTCACACATCAAAAACCTAGAGCTCCGGAGAACTGAATGGGAACTGAACCTTCCACATGCACAGGTCTCTCTGGTCATGGACACACATTCACAGCTGAACCAATAAGTAAAGTAATGTTTGCTACCTTCTGCTGTGGATTACTGTCCTTGCCTCAGAGGTGGGAGTGATATATGTACACATCTAAACAGCTTGTGCAGGAAGACACCTTTACACTAAGATGACAGCTTTCCAGTGGAGCCATGTGACCCGTATATGCCCTGCTCCTGACTCCAGGTAATATGGTTAGCATAACCAACACCATTTCCTAAGACAAACAGCCATAAAATGTGTGCTAATCATGCATCATCTCCTCCTCTTTTCCCCTTTTCAACACTGTAGTTGTCACCAACATGTGATGACCGCCATTATAGAACAGCCAGATTCCCTGGCAGTGTTGCGAAAAAACTATCTGCCCACCAAGCACTGCTGCCAGGATGTGGTGTCGCCTGTTAGGGAACACAAAAGTGTAACAGTACATGAAATATTGTCCATAAAATCAAGCAGTCGCAAGTCCTGATGCTGGACAGCAAAACCTGTGATCCCCCAGTGGCCCGGGATGCAGCTACCATTGTTTTCTCCCTCTGAAGACTGAGTGACTCCTGTTCTTTTGGGTAAAGTCTGAGTC